TTTGAGTGAGTGGTGTTGCAACATGGCACTTGGGGTCATATGACTGCCATATGACTCCATGCACCAGGTCACAATGCCCGGAGTTGGAAGCTTGGCCCAGCCTGGCGGGACAGAAGCCGTATCTGCCGGATGAGTGCGGGGCCAGTTTAGTCTCCAGCTCCTTGTGAAAATTCTTGCGCAATTTTGTCAATTGCATCATCTTCTTGAAAAGGCGCTGCCCATACACTGAAAGGCTGCCAGGGGGATAGTCACCCCTCACCCCAGATCAGCTCTGCCACTGACACAAAGATGAATTGTACTGGCGAGCTCTACGTTAGCTCTGTATAGTTCTTACTTTGTGGAAGCTGGTTTCCTTTCTCACATTGTATAAGATATACATCTTATCAAAAGATGGTATCATATGATTCTCATACTACGCATGGTAGAGAATAGTTCATTCACCATTCATGTTTTCTCTTTTTGATGCTTTGGCATTTCTGATCCTGGCCCAGACTATGTCCCCTGGATCCAGATGCTGGGAGTGTGCTCCTCCATGTATGGCTGTCCCGGGCGTGTACCTCTGTGGCACTGTCCCCCTACACACACACACACACTCACTCACTCTGTCTCTCTCTCTCCGCTCCCCCCCCGCCCCGCTGCAATCCGTGGAGCTGAACTTGAAGCTGTGCTGTTTTTTCAGTGGAACCTCCCTACCCCCATGGCTTGTATGGGCTATGAGAGCCAGGGGAACCACTGGAGCTGCACTGCCAGCATTTACAGTCAACATGGGGGAGGGAGGCAGTAAGACACTGGGCCTCCAGACACTTGGCTCTAACCTCCCCTTGGTCCAACCACAGGGACAACCAAGCGGGGGTGGGAGGCAGCCCTTCCAAACTGATTGTAAAAGGGGCTCAATCTGCCTGATGGAACAGTTGGGGAGGGAGCTTTGGGGCAGGAAGTGTCTTTTTGTTTTTTGGACATTGCTTAGCCCTTTCTGGATAGTAAATGACTCTAATGATAAACAACAAAAGATCTGGGCTTTCCACGCCTCAGTGACTGAGGTATCACAACAAAAGCAGATTTGACCTTTTTTTGACCTCACAAATGACTTCCTAATGCATTCACAAGCTAAATATGAGTCAAAAGTGTAATGCTGTTGCAAAAAAAGCAAACATCATTCTGGGATGTATTAGCAGGAGTATTGTAAGGAAGACACGAGAAGTAATTCTTCCGCTCTACTCCGTGCTGATTAGGCCTCAACTGGAGTATTATGTCCAGTTCTGGGTGCCACATTTGAGGAAAGATGTGGACAAATAGGAGAAAGTCCAGAGAAGAGCAACAAAAATGATTAAAGGTCTAGAAAACATGACCTATGAGGGAAGATTGAAGAAACTGGGTTTGTTTAGTCTGGAGAAGGGGAGACTGAGAGGGGCATGATAACAGTTTTCAAGTACATAAAAGGTTGTTACAAGGAGGAGGGAGAAAAATTGTTCTTCTTAACCCCTGAGGATAGGACAAGAAGCAATGGGCTTAAATTGCAGCAAGATGGACATTAGGAAAAACTTCCTGTCAGGGTGGTTAAGCACTGGAATAAATTGCTTAGGGGGTTGTGGAATCTCCATCATTGGGGATGTTTAAGAGCAGGTTGGATAAACACCTGTCAGGGATGGTCTAGATAATACTTAGTGCTGCCGTGAGTGCAGGGGACTGGACTAGATGACCTCTTGAGGTCCCTTCCAGTTCTATGATTCTATAAGCTACTACTGTACTGGGCGGCTCATCATTCATGCTGGATTTCAGCTGCACTCACCCAGTAACAAGACTGTGGCCTGAATCTGAAGTCTCTCTGGTGTTGGCATGGGGAACTCTAGTCTGTGCCTATAAACTGCCCAGCACAAAGGGGCCATGATTCTGATCAGGGCCTCTGGGTGCTATTGTAATAATATAAGAATGAATAATAATACAACCCCCCCCGCCCCCCCCCCCCCCCCCACTGCTGACACCATTAGCTGGTGGTACCCTCATTACAGGCTCCTGGAGGGCTTTAGAGCCACGAAGGGCAGCAGATCTGGCCCAGAATCCAACATTCCCCTGAGTTTGGAGGTGTTGGATCTGGGGGTTGGTTTTGTGCCAACCTCTAGCGTTTATCTTATTACCAATTACTTATCACCAGCACGCACGGACCATTTCTCAGCACTCTGTGTAAGCACCATCAACAAACACCCCAGCCCGGTGAGGTGAAAGCCCGGGCCGACTGAAAATCATGTGCCTGCCTGCTGCAAAGCGGGCAACAACAGGCGTTTGCTCAGCGCAGCCTTCCCTCTTGCTGCGGCCTGGGGGAGCAGCGCGCCCAGCCACTCCACGCCGCCCGGAGCTGAATGACATCCCCGGCACCCAGTAGGCTGCAGCTTGGAGCAGCTCCCGGCCGGGCTGGGCTGTTCCCAGCGCTGCCGCTCTCGAGCAGAAGCGAAAGCAGCGGCCCGAATGAGGAGGGCGGCGGAAGCGCCGCGCAGCGCCCACGCCCCCAGCTGCACGGGAGCGGAGAGGCTGGTGCGCCGGCCCCTCCTGGACCCGGGCTCCTGCGAGTCTGCCCCGCGCCTCCCCCCGCAGGCAAGGGCCGGGCGGGTGGCACCAGCGGGATGCTGCTCCAGCTGAGCGCCGAGTTTGATCTCCAGAGCGATGTGGTCCCGTGGCTCTTGGCGCAAGGTCCGGCAGCGGCTCTAGGTAACGCTGATGCTCCGGGAGGCGCTTTCCGAAATGTTTCTGTAGGGTCGCCCCCACCCCCGCCAGCCATATCTGTCTTGTACTCGGCTCACCTGTAAGGAAAGTGTCCTCGCCTCCGCCTGCCCCGTCCCAGATGTGGCCCTGGTTTCTTTAGTGTGTGCACATATGTATGGTTATCTGGCCCTTTAAACATCCTCACAACCCCGTCTCCCCCCTTCTTAAAGTGGGACACAACACAAAGGGAGGGGGAAGAAGTTTGACATGATGTGATATTAATGTCCTCTTGCTGGGTCAAAACGAAGCTGGCTGGAATCTAATTTTTCATGAATCAGCACCTTAGTTTAGTTTATGGCAGTAAAAACAACAGCATATTATTTATGTGCTGTGTGGTTACAAGAGAGCCCAGGTGTGTTTAAACTTGGGCCTAAATGAGTGAAGTAGTGGCTTATTTGGGCATGGATTAGTCAGGTGCTGGGAGCATGATATGTGAACCATTGCCAAAACATATCTAGAAATACCTGTCTGCCTTGGTGTGTGTTATGGTTTTCCCATTTGTATGCTCCTTGGCTGCCAGTTACAAAGATTGCTGGGCCTAATACTCGACTGATTTACACCATGTTCAAATACCATTAAAGTCATGTGCAGAATCCAGTCCACTCATTATTTATGTAAGTACAATGTCCAAATGTCTACTTTAAAAGTGATGCAAATTGCAAAGTTATTCTGTATGGTATGAGTATAAATTTTAGATGGTGACATTTTATTTATTTTTTTAAAATGGAGAATCAGGGAGTTTAATCTATTATGGCAGGGAAGTGAAAATAGTTCAGTTACACACGAGATGCAGACTGCACTTAAGGTGACATGCCAAGAGTAAATATCATAGAGTCTAAAAACTAATATAACATTAAACAGGTTAGTCTAAAGTATGTGTATTTAAAAGCAACTTCCTTGAAATGTGAGCCAAATTCATCCTTGGTATAGCTCTCCACTAAAGTCACTCATGCATCAGAGATGAATTTGGCAAAGAATGTTCAAAGTGAAACAATTGTATATGACAACAGGAAATAACCTATGTAGATTTAACTTCCTACTAACAGACTACTATCATATATGCTAGATGTTATCCCTTTCTTTCACAAAACTTTCCTCTCTCACTCCCCATTTCTCCAAAAATTTGGTTAGAATACTTTCCCCCAGTAACCTCCTCTTTAAAAAAAAAAAACAAAACAAAAAACTTTTATCCATTTCGTAAGTGAATGCTAATTAAAAGTAAATTAACTGTTAGATGCCACAACAATATGAGATTGCTAAATTATTCTGTTGGGTGGTGTGGGAGCTGAGAAGCAATGAATAATCCCAGTGGACTTTTGGCACAATGGTTCCCCTCCGCCCCACCTGTGAAGTAACTGGTTTAGTTCTGTTTTTTAAAAACTACAAAAGACTCAGTTTAGAAAAGCAGAGGGAAATAGCATAAAAATCATCATCTTTAGGGTCCTACCAAATTCACTGTCCATTTTGGTCAACTTCATGGTCATAGATTTTTAAAATAGTAAATTTCATGATTTCAGATATTTAAATCTGAAATGTCATGGTGTTATAATTGTAGGGGTCCTGACCCAAAAGAGAGTTGTGGGGGCTCACAAGGTTATTGTAGTGGGGGTTGCGGTACTGCTACCCTTACTTCTGCACTACTGCTGGTGCTTCCTTCAGAGCTGGGCAGCTGGAGAGTGGCGGCTGCTGGCTGAGAGCTGAGCTCTGAAGGCAGAGCCATCACCAGCAGCAGCAGCATAAAAATAAGGATGGCCTGGTATGCTATTGCTCCCTTCTGCGCTGCTGCCTGCAGAGCTGGGCCCTTAGTCAACAGCCGCCACTCTCCAGCCGCCCAGCTCTGAAGGCAGCAGTGCAGAAGTAAGGATGGCATGGTATGGTATTGCCACTCTTACTTCTGTGCTACTGCTGGCGGGGCGCCGCCTTCAGAGCTGGGTGCCCAGCCAACAGCCACCGCTCTCCAGCCACCCAGCTCTAAAATGACCCCCCTAAAATAACCTTGCAACCATCCCCCCTCTCCCACCGCAACTCCCTTTTGAGTCAGGACTCCCAATTTGAGAAACACCGATCTCTCATGTGAAATCTGTATAGTATAGGGTAAAAGCACACAAAAGACCAGAATTCACAGTGGGGAGACCAGATTTCACAGCATTTTTCATGGCCGGGAATTTGTTAGGGCCATAATCATGGTAGAGACAGATGTTAGTATCTGTACTAAATTCTGAATGTCTAATTGGAGACCTTGTGGCAAGATACATAATTCAAAAAAATCAACCATCTATGTATTGTTGCTCTATAAAGGGGTATGTCAGATTGATTTATCCCCAAACAAATTTATACAAAACCAAAGGTAAATAGGAAAGTTTCCATTATTTTAAAAATAAATTCCTTACCTTTCCTTCTACCGCAAAGTCTGTAGTTGAAAAGTATTCCATGTATGTTAGGTATTATTATCATCTACCATTGTATACTGGAGTGATTTACTATGATATGAATATGTCCTATAGTGTGGACATGGCACTGACCATCTTGTTTAAGACCGATACAGGCCGTGCACGGCCTTTTTAACAAAGCAAAAGACCAGTCTTTTTTAGAATGAGCCCATCTGATGTTACTAGTGTTACTGTCTAGCATTTCAGCTTCTGTTCACATAGTGACTTTTCTACCTTTTAAAAATAAATTATTTTTGTGTCTAGGCACCCAGGGCGTTGTAGCCTATTAGTTAAACTACTGTTAAACTACCATGGGTTCAGCTCCCATTGCTACAGTTTCAGGCTCAACAGAATTTTCTTGTAAAGTCTCACATGCATGTTTAACGTTATTCTCATTGGATAACTCATATGAACAACCTTCAGCAACCACATAAGTTTTGTCAGTATTGGGGCTCTAATCACTGGATTTTGGACAAAAATATCTTGTATGATGCTGAATTTAGCAATCACATATGTTGTACTCGCAAACTGACATATCTCCAATTATAGGTCCTACCTAGTAGAAGCATTATGTTTGTAAAACATTGGTCAGAACTGAAGAAATTAAACTTTTTAAAATAAACACATGAAAATATTTGTTTTCAACTGTTTTTAAAGGAAATCTGGGCTTATTTTTGTTTAGCCCAATCATGTGAGTGTTCAGAAGACAAGCAGCACTTCTTGCTATGAATTAAAACTGTGCTATATTTGAACAAAATCTTCCTGGCTATTCTGAATCTGTTGGTGGTGGTAACCTGCTGGAGAATCACAAATGGGCATCAGTATACGGGAGACTTCAAGCAAGTTTCAGAATTGCTTGAAAGCTGATTTAATTATCTTAAAAAGGATTTTAATTTCTAGATGTTAAAGCATTTTTGCATCTAGCGCTAAATGTTACTAAATATAACATTAAAAAAGAATGTTTTCTCCCTTGAGGATTTGAGAGTGTTATGCAGCCCCTCTTGGAATTTCCAGTGATGTACACACTGGGCATAGCTAGGATCAAGGAAGGAGCTATAAACTGAGAGAAGATGGGTCTCTCACAGGCCCTGATCTAAAGACTTCCATTGAGTTCTGTGGACTCTGGATCAGGGGGCTACTGTCTGCTTGGAGGTCAAATTCATCCTTCCTTATACACAGTAGAAAGGGGGTTGATGGGCCAGTATTCACCCTTGACATGCAGGCAGGCTGTGTGGTTGCTTGCAGTCTATCCTTGCCTGCTATTCTAGTCTGTGGATTGGGATATTGGCTGTTGTTCTTTGTGCCCTTTACATTGGGTTTTTGCCCACTGGATCTTTCAAGTGCAGATTTACCGTAATTATCACTTCCCCAGTCCACTCCAAATGCTCAGTCTGCGCTGGGTTAGTAAGGGTGGCAGGAAAATCACCTTTGTGACACCAGCGTGTCCTCCCTCCTCTCCATCCTGGACTGATGAGGAGGCCCTGCGGTACAGAGGGTATTGTGTGGGCCCTCTATATTGGAGTGAATTCTGCCTTGAGGGAGTATACTATATGGAAAAGGATTTGTTTGGAGACTGTTCCCTAAACTTCCAGGATAGTATAAGTGGCTGAATCCAATGAAATATCCATTAATATCAATGTAGGGTGTAGTGTCATTCAACGGGATAATGACAGATCTTCTCGGCTATTATTGGGTGATCATCTCTGGTGTAACGCTGTTGTAATGGACTTTGAGTGCTCTGACAGCTGTGGAAAGTGGTGAATCTAGTAGTGTAAAGAAAGCCAGGATTTCCCCCTTGTTTCCCAACAACAAAATGCCAGTGTTCTGAATTTAATTGATCCTAACAGTGATAAATAAAACAAAGGAGGTGTTCTTTTCATTACTAATTGTGTTAGCATAAGCCAGTTTATAGTATAAAAATACCTGACCATATGGAGGAGGCACACTCTCTACCAACCTTAGGTGATAACTACAAAGTTATTAGTGTCAAACCCAGCTAATAACCTAACAGGAATCTTGAAGAATTTTTCCATTCAAACTTTCTGAACACTATTGCTGTTACAAACTACCATACAGTGGTTAAAATGCAGCCATCAAATGTTCTTTTTATGAACTACATTTCCTCTCCTAGTCAAGTTCCCATTTGTGAGGCAACAACCCTTTGGCAACCACAACTGCTAGAAAAGTGGCATAAGGAAAGCATGCCTTTTTATTGTCTTTAATATATGAGATTTGTCCTTTCTGACATACACTAATCACACTATTTCCTTTTGTTTTGGGCTTCCCTGCTGCCTGGTCCTTCTCTTTCCCCTTCATGTCCATCATGGCTTATCTATGCTTCCCTGACACATGGGATCCTTGCACGTGCCCCATGGCTGCTTAGTTTCCAGGTACCCCAGTGCAGCGGTTCTTAAACTGGGATGTGTGGAATGTATTCTGGGCGGGCTTGAAAAGAGTTAGGGGGGAAAAAATTACTGCACGAATTCAGAGCTGGGTGGCTAGAGAGCAGCAGCTGCTGACTGAGTGCCCAGCTCTGAAAGCAGTGCCGCTGCCAGCAGCAGCACAGAAATAAGGGTGGCAGTACCATACCATGCACCCTTACTTCTTCACTGCTGCTGGCGGCAATGCTGCCTTCAGAGCTGGGTGGCTGGACAGCGGTGGCTGCTAGCCAGGTGCCCTAGTTGGGGCGAAACTACTACAGACAGAAAGAAGGGGGTGTGATCAAATATGTTTGAGAACCACTGCCCCAGTGTATACTGCTAGGCTGTATGGCTCCCTGATGGCTCTGGTCACTAAGGGAAAATTCTGTTTCTTATCCTGCTCTTTATGCGGAAGTGGCCTCTGGAGGAGTCAGCTAGGCTGACATCGCCTCATTTCCAGGTACTTCTCTGAGTTGCCTGGAGAAGCCGCTGGAAACAAGGTGACAGGTGTCGTGGTGCTGGTGCCACCTCTCTGTTGACCACCAGCTGGTGCTCTGAGGACTGCAGTTTGAGAACTTGCAATGCATAGCCATTACTTAACTTCTAAAGTCCTGTATGCATGTAATAGAATGGGTTGAAAATGATCTGCTGTAAGCAGCATACAATGAATCCAAACCTCTTATTTAGAATTCTAACAGAAAATAGGAGTTGATCCTGAAATTTTGCAAGGAGATGGTTGAATTCCATTACTATGGCAATTAGAACTGTTAATTCAAACATGGTTTCCATGTTATTGGATGGGTGAGTGAGGAGTGTTTAGAAGCTAAGCTCCTTTTCTATAAGTTTTAAAACTCATTACATCTCATTTGAAGTTTCATTCGGGATTAAATAGAAGCCTGCGTACTACACTATCTTCGTCAAGAAGAGAGGAATTTTTTCATGCACACAATATGCTCTAGAAAGGCCTTCATTTAAGTGTTTTTGCAGATGTAAGACTAATGCTGATTTGTTTTAAACCTACATAAGTTCTACAGTGAATTAATCCAAATGAGTGTCTTATGCCTTTAATACTTCTAATTTCAGACACTTTTGAGAAGAGTGCAGCAACACCGTATGTAGTAAATGTTGAAAGAAATGGAAAAATTATTTATACCTGGAAGGTAAGTCTACAGCATAGAAGTCTGTTCAGATGTACCGGAAAGTAAGAGTTCGTCTAATTTAATCTAATACTTGCATTTTACATTTCTTTTCATTGGGATTTAAAATCTGTGATTTGATCGATTACAAGTTTTGGATGCCTTTTAGGTTACTTACAAAACTGTTTTTTCCTTGGGGCAAGGCTGGAGGGACTGAGAGAGTGAAATCCTGGCTCCATTCAAGTCCATTGGAGTTTTGCCATTGACTTCACTGTGGCCAGGATGTCATCCTGAACGAACAGCCATTACTTACACAAATTCTTCATAAACAGCACATTCTTCCTCGCTGAGAGCTGAGTTGCTTAAGAAAGGCAGAATCTACTGAATTCAAGCGGAGCTATTTCACTTAAACTTGGTTCTGTATAAGTGACATCTTTAAACCTTTTAAATGGTAAAAAATACCCTCCTCTTATGCTGTGCTTTGTGTAATTTTAAACCCTGCCTGTAGTTGTCATGAACTCTGAAGTATCTCTAACTTGTTTAGTATCCTTCAGAGCTACATAGGGTGACCAGATTTTATAGGGACAGTCCCGATTTTTGGGTCTTTTTCTTATATAGGCTCATGTTACCCTCCACCCCCTGTCCCGATTTTTCACATTTGCTATCTGGTCACCCTAGAGCTACAGTCATTTTTACTGCAAAAGCCTACATTTAGGGCCCTGTTCTCCCTAGTGCATGTAAAGAAGAAGTAACACTCAGTATAAATCTTGTGGCAGTGCAAGAATTCTCCAGTTGGTTTGGGGATGATTCCCACTCTTTGGAAGAAGTTGGGGTTCAGATAGCAAAATCTACTAGTACCCACCCAGATTCATGTGGATTTTAGGGGATCTGCTGGGGGCACAGGCTGCAGGGCAATGCACTTCCAATGGAACTGCGTTGCCAGGGATGCCTCTTATTCTTTGACCTGCCCCCTCCAAACAGCAGAGCATCCAGCAGGGCTTCCACAAGGATGAGGGAAGGAAGAGGCTGCAGCAGAGCAGAATTCCCTTTTCTTGTGGATGCAGGCTTTCCTTTACATGAGCACACCAAGGGGAGTTATGGGGCCTTTACACATCACCTGGCAGTAGTAACAAACCTCCCTTTGTTTTTTGTTTGTTTGTTTTTAATATTTTAGTTTCATGAAATATCAGATTTTTGTATTACACAAAACTCTAGTCATATTTTACTCTGATCCATGCAAAGTTCATCCGTGCAGCTGTTGACAGCAAATATTCTGGGCACTACAGACTTGAGGAGGCCAATTTTTGTTCATAAGGGGAAAGTGCCTTCTTTCTAGCATGTATGGAATGTTGCATTAAGCATTCCAGGGCTGCAGACTGGCCAGCCCAATCACTTCATATGGCAGTCAGGCTCTTGGGAAAAACAGCAGGATTCACTGAGCTTGCTCAGTGTGTTTGCCTTCCCATCCCCAGCTAGTTACATTTCCTAGGGCTGAAGTAAACTCTGCAGGCTGTGTGGTGCCAGGTGGTGGTAGCGGGGCAGAAGGCAGATCCTGAAAACTGGGTGTAGCAGAGTGGAGAACACATTTGCATGAGGTTTCTACCTGCCAAACTGCTCTGAACTCTGTCCTGAAGAACATGTTTTTTTGTTAATTCCACAGTCCTCCTGTCTCGCCAAAGTAGGCTGACCTTCCCCTGGGTAGGTCAGTCTACTACAGAACCAGCATCTGGAGCCTTGCTCCCTTGGGAAGACCACAGATATGTTTTGTTTGGGTTTTAAGATTTAAAACCTGTTACTGGAGTGGAGAGTTCTCCTTGGAGTATTTTCACCACTGGGCAAATTTGAGGGCTGGTCATATGTTGTATGTTTAAAAAAAAAAAAAAAAAAAAAAAGCAAGCCCCCTTCTCCTAGAGCAGTGGTTCCCAAACTGGGGTTCGCAAAATGTTACAGGGGGTTCTCGGGAAAAAATTCCCTAATGGCGGACAGAACTGTCCCTAGGGACCCTGGGCAGCACGGGGTCAGCAGCCCAGAGCTCCTGGACTTCCAAGAGCTAAGCAGATCAAAGCAAGCATCTCTATCACATTGAGGAGATTTAAACTTCAAGACTCCTTATAAGAAGTGGAAAGGGACGTGGATATTTTTTGCTGTTTTTAAAATTAAATAGGCAGCTAGTATTGTTTTTAAAATTATTATGAAGAACAAGTTTAAGCTTTGTTGTAATGTGCATTGATTGCCTGGACTGCTCAAGACCTGAATGCTTGTGTAGGAGGAACTCTTTGAGTTGGCTTCTTAAATACCTTCCTGCTGTTTCACATCTGATACTCCTTGATGAAACCTAGGAGCCTTGTCTTATAACAGGCTTATTCAAAGTGACACAAGCTACGAAAGTGAGAGCTTGGAAGTGTGTTGCCGTTTTCATAATGTAATAAAAATACTGTCACAATAAATGATAATTAATAATAAATAGTGTGTAATAAGCATGTCATAAAAACAATGTTTGTTTCCAAGATCACTACTTTTATAATTTATACTCAGGTCAAGGAGAATATCCCTGGAAATATTAATTTTTAGGAGGGGGTTTGCGAGACTTGACATTTTAGTGAAAGGGGTTCACAGGTTGTTAAAGTTTGGGAACCACTGTCCTAGAGAGAGGAGTGTTGTCTGTGTGAGACAGACAGATAAGGTGTCTAACCTGCTGTGGGATCCGTGCCGGCCTTAATGCCCAGATAGATTCCTATTGAAGTTAGTGAGACTCCATGCAGGATTGTGTCCATCCATGCTGGTGCGGTTGCATGATGGGGGTCTGAATTATCCCAGACCCTTGTGTATGTTAACTTTTTTCTCCAGAAGTTGAAACAATATACAAAAAGTATAAATTTCATCCTGTACATAAGATGCTTTTTGCATCAAATTGTCAAAACTTGGAAAATGGACCATTTTTAAGCCTTAAGAGTGAAAAGCTGGCTCCACTGATAGGCAACTGGAGTTTTGCCATTGACCGTAATGGAGGCAGATTCCACCTAAGGTGACTTTTGTTCTGCAGTAACTTACTTGATTGACTGATAGCAAATGTACTGTTTTATCTACTTTGTTCCCTGGTGTATGGCAAAACTTTTCCATCTGCTGATCTTTTTATGACTGACTGCTTTTTGTGCAGGAAGGGACAGGGTCTTGAATTTATCTAACTACTTATCAGTTACCCACACTTACAGTAAAGTTTAAAGTCCCATTTTTGACCTGCCTTAAAACTTGCAAACTGGTGAAGAATGTCTTCTGAACGATGAGTATTTTTTCATGTTGCTACTCTGTTAATATACAGAAATGATATTGAAAAACTTTCTCATTTTATTCAAGATCAATAGATATGGTTACCCCAGTATCTGCAGGTTTCCTTGTTCTTCCCTATATTCACTATGGGGAAATAACTTCATTACTGCACATACTGGTGTTGGTTAACTGCAGATCTTATTGTGTTGTCCAAGGCAATTTAGCCTTTAGATTTATTTTAAATAACCACTGTAAACTACATTATTCAATGAGCCACCATTTTTGTGAGAGACTCTCAAACATGTGTCCTTCCTGCTGGCTCTCTAGCAGCAGTTCACTCTAACACTTGTCAGAGCACTTCATGTTCATACTGACATCATCAGCAAGGCTGGTGCACAGACAAGGGTGTAAACTAAACTGAGCTATTTTGGTTTCTGGCCCATTAAACACAATTGGAAAACAATCTGTATCTGCCAAGTGAAAAGAGACCATATGTATTGTGTGTAGGATCAGTGGAAGGAGGAGGATGGACATTATTTTCAAGCTTTTACAAAAATTACAAAATAATGTTGAGATTAGAAAAAAATGTGGCCTTTGTCTTTCATGGCATATACAGTTGTCACATACCTGTTAAATAAAACAGCTTATTAGTCACAGGGTAAGCACTTCTCCCCTGAAAAGCAATGTAAGAATCCTGTAAGTGCACTTGGTAACAATATGCTAGCACATGCATAGACTTGATGTGGAACTTTAATTGATTGATTATTACAGCTATGATTCCAGTTTTTATGAAATCCACTTTTCTTAGAAAAGTACAGAAAATGCCAGATTATAGGGGCCTGCTCCTGCTCCCACTGAAGTCAGTAAGTTCTCAATTTGGTCCTGTTCAGGAATGCACTTGATTAATTTTAAGTCAGTGGAACTTAAGCAGATGCTTTTTTTTTTCTTTTTTTTCTTTTTTTCTGAAATAGGAGCATAGAAGAGTTTTGTTGTTGAGAGCTTAGCTATTGTGGTAGCACGTATAAAAACCTAAGAGAATGCATGACCAGGCCCTTATATATACTTAAGCCCCTTCATTTTCAGTTTAGACCGATTTTTTACCGAAAAATTCCCAGGATTCACAAAAAGTTTTCATTTTTATTTTCACCCTACTTTTGTATCATTCAAATATATAAAAATAACTTGTTTTATTAGGAAAATACAATACATTGCATGAGATATCTGTATTAGGATAATACGTTAGTCTGTGTGTATATGCAAAGCTGCCTGTTGAAATAAGGCTATGCATTAGTCTAGAAGATACACACAATAAACAAACAGGCACGCATACAAGCTCTGAAGTGCATGTGAATGTGAACTTACTGATGAATCTCACGCCCACCACATACACATTTCAAGCTGTTAGCAGATAACCATTTAAAGATTTTACACACTAAAATGGGAAGAAAGTGAAAATCTGTATCAGAATATGTTTCAGAACATAAGGTAGTATTTGAAAGTTTAAAAAAAAACAAAACCAGGAGAAAAGGATGAAGTTAAGTGTATGTGCGGCAAATGGTATGGCCCAATTATTAAATGTAAATATTTATAGGCTAATAGTTCTAGGTCTACAACAGTAAACTGTTTATTCAAATGAAAAGTTTTATTTGGGGATGAGAGATATATTGTCTTCTTAAACTCAGGTGGCACTTGTGTTTTGTGTTCTGTTTTTGTTCTGCAGCAAGCCACATTGATGAACGGAATTCAAAGCATTAATCTACTGAATACTCCCTTCCCCCCCCGGTCTTTCTGGTCACCAAAATAAACCCCAGTATTTACCCAGAAAAATTATTAATAGTTTTTTGTACTGATTTTCACCTGCTTTTGTTGTTGTGGTAATAAACACTGATAAATTTCCGGGAAAAATTAAATAAAATAAAAACTGAAAATGAAGGGCCCTATGTCTACTTCACAAAACAAGGTGCAGTAATTTTGCAAACCACTACAGGTCCATTTTCTCATGCTCTGTTGTTAAAAACAGTGGTGTTTATTGTATCAAACAGACTCCATGATTGTAGTCTGATAAGTGCAAGGTTGCATAGCTGGATGTAGCCTCATTAGCCTGGTAACTTTATGCACACTTTGAGAGTGGTAGTAGCTTCCAACTGAAAATGGAAATGCAACAATTTGCTGCCAGTCAGAGGCCAAAAATGGAAATAGATCTGGAAAACCTAAAGAGTCTTGTCCATTAAAAAGGAAACAGTTTAATCTGTTTGTGTTCAGAAGTAGTGTAAACAATAACCAGTACATCATTATATAAATCAGCTGTAGATGGTGTTTGTTTTTTACAGGGCAGTAGACTGTCAATAATTGTGTTGACAATCTGGAGCTTTTAAACAGCTTGTGAAATCTATTTAGCGTTTGTCTTGATAGTTCCCAGGGTAGGGGCTACATTCTTCCTCCAACTGTAGGCCTCTGGCCTATGTGTCAGCCTCTCTGCACCCGGATGTGAAGTTTTTAGCCACTGGGTCCATATAATCGCAGATCCCCCAGATCTGGTGCATCCCACCCCAAAATATCCTACAGAGCGCCAGCACAGAATCCCCTTTCCATGGCCTTTAGAACCCTTTAGAACCTACAAAGGGTGCCAAGTATCAGAGGGGTAGCCGTGTTAGTCTGGATCTGTAAAAAGCAACAAAGAGTCCTGTGGCACCTTATAGACTAACAGATGTATTGGAGCATAAGCTTTCGTGGGTGAATACCCACTTCGTCAGATGCATGTAATGGAAATTTCCAGAGGCAGGTATACATTTGCAGGCAAGAATCAGTCTGGAGATAACGAGGTTAGTTCAATCAGGGAGGGGGAGGCCCTCTTCTAGCAGTTGAGGTGTGAACACCAAGGGAGGAGAAACTGCTTTTGTAGTTGGCTAGCCAAGATATTGCTTCATTGCCACCCTGCCCTTGTGGAGGTTGAGTGGGGAGCCTACATAGGGCTTCAGTGAGGTAGAGAAGTGAATTTCAGGTTATAAGGGGATGCAGATTCAGTTGTGATGGTGGGTTGATCAGTTGTCACATGTAACTGTTCTAAAAACCAAAACAACAACAAAAAACAACACACATCAACCCCCCATACCCTATTTTCTCACTCCCCTTTTTTGGAGTTAAAGTAATAGAGCAATACGTATGAAACCAAAGGCCAGAAAATGGACAGGAGTGAATGGGAATGGAAAGAATTGGTGATAGGAGAGAAGAGGGGAGTAACGCTGGAAAGGAGAAAACAATGTTTAACAAATGTCTATGTAAATCTAGATAAATTGACAGTTATTTCATTTAATTTACAGGGAAGTGGGAGAAATACCTGCATTGGATTATATGATCCTTTTAATAAACAAAATGAGGTAAGGTTAATGCCACATGTAGATCTAGAAAGGAGAATACACCTCTACCCCAATATAACGCGACCCGATATAACACGAATTCGGATATAACGCGGTAAAGCAGCGCTCCGGGGAGGCGGGGCTGCACGCTCTGGTGGATCAAAGCAAGTTCAATATAACACAGTAAGATTTTTTGGCTCCCGAGGACAGCGTTATATCGGGGTAGAGGTGTATCTCTGCTTTCTAGGTTTTGATGCCCTAAAAAATGACATTCTTATGTCTGTCTGAAGTGTTTGTTTTTAAATAAAAGTTGCTGTTGTGACCTTTCCACACCCCAGCGTAAAGCATTCAAATAAAGTTTTGTAGCAACCTGTCTGCATAGCAGTCTGACTTATTGTATACTGAACTGGGCAAATATGAATGCTAATGAGTCTAAAAAAACAGCCGAGTTGAACATGTTATATAAAAAGTAGGGCTGTCAACCGATTAAAAAATTAATTGCAATTAAAAAAATGAATCGTGATTAATCGTGTGACTAAACAATAATAGAATACCATTTATTTAAATATTTGTGGATGTTTTCTACATTTTCAAATATATCGATTTCAATTACAGCACAGAATAGTGTACAATGCTCACTTTATATTTATTTTTTATTACAAATATTTGCACTGTAAAAAAACAAAAGAAATAGTATATTTCAATTCACCTCATACAAGTACTGTAGTGCAATCTCTTTATAATGAAGGTTGAACTTACAAATGTAGAATTATGTATCAAAAAAAACTGCATTCAAAAATAAAACAATGTAAAACTTTAGAACCTACAAGTCCACTCAGTCCTACTTCAGCCAATCGCTCCGCAAACAAGTTTGGTTACAGTTTGCAGGAGATAATGCCGCCCATGTCTTGTTTACAATGTCACCTGAACGTGAGAACAGACGTTCGGATGGCACTGTTGTAGCCGGCATCGCAAGATATTTACATGCCAGATGCGCTAAAGATTCATATGTCCCTTCATGCTTCAACCACCATTCCAGAATATATATGTCCATGCTGATGACAGGTTCTGTTCGATAACTATCCAAAGCAGTGCGGACTGATGCATGTTCATTTTCATCATCTGAGTCAGATGCCACCAGCAGAAGGTTGATTTTCTCTTTTGGTGGTTCAGGTTCTATAGTTTCCACATCGGAGTGTTGCTCTTTAAGACATCTGAAAGCATTCTCCACACCTTGTCCCTCTCAGATTTTGGAAGGCACTTCAGATTCTTAAACCTTGGGTCGAGTGCTGTATCTATCCTTAGAAATCTCACACTGGTACCTTCTTTGCATTTTGCCAAATCTGCTGTGAAAGTGTTCTTAAAGCGAACATGTGCTGGGTCATCATCTGAGACTGCTAGAACATGAAATATATGGCAGAATGCAGGTAAAACAGAACAGGAGACATACAATTCTCCCCCAAGGAGTTCAGTCACAAATTTAGTTAACACATTATTTTTTTTAATGAGCAGCATCAGCATGGAAGCATGTCCTCTGGAATGGTGGCCGAAGCATGAAGGGGCATATGAATGTTTAGCATATCTGGCACGTAAATACCTTGCAATGCCGGCTACAAAAGTGCCATGCAAACGCCTGTTCTCACTTTCAGGTGACATTGTAAATAAGCAGTCAGCAGTATCTTCCATAAATGTAAACAAACTTGTTTGTCTTAGCAATTGGCTGAACAAAAAGTAGGGCTGAGTAGACTTGTAGGTTCTAAAGTTTTACATTGTTTTGTTTTTGCATGCAGGTATGTAACAAACAAACAAAAATCTACATTTGTAAGTTGCACTTCCACAATAAAGAGATTGCACTACAGTACTTGTATGAGGTGAATTGAAAAATACTATTTCTTTTGTTTATCATTTTTACAGTGCAAATATTTGCAATAAAAAATAATAATAAAAAGTGAGCACTGTACACTTTGTATTCTGTGTTGTAATAGAAATCAACATGTTTGAAAATGTAGAAAAACATCCAAAATATATTTAATACATTTCAATTGGTATTCTATTGTTTAACAGTGCGATTAATCGCGATTAATTTTTAAAATCGGAGTTAATTGCATGAGTTAACTGCGATTAATCGACAGCCCTACTAAAAAGTAATTATTTATTTGTTACTTGTATTACATGTACACCCACAAGGTGCTGTGTGCTGCCACGTGTATATGAAGACATGATCCTAGAAAAGAAGATTGTACAGTTCTGCATTTGGATCCATGTGGACGGCCTGTGCAGAGCTGTGTTGAAATCATTGGGGTTTCATGCTGACTTAAGGGTTTGCCTATGTAGATCTAGTGGCAGATTGGGGGCCTAAGGAAAAAAGCAATGCACAAAGGGTGGAGAAGAGTGCTAAAATATGGGGTCAGAATGTAGTTCTTCTGCCCTTTGGAATGTTTGTTTAAAGAAACACTTTGAAGAAATACTGATCAGTGTTGTTTTCCTAAGGAGTAGAGACTTTAAAAATAGTTTGTATTAAGTGAGTGAAACAAAACAAGCCACGTTATGTATTTAACTCAAAATTTATTTCTCAATAGCATCTGTATACCTTTGAAAAAGATCTACACATAATCAGTTGTTCGATCAACAATGAAAAGACATTACTAGGTAAGTGTCGTCTTTATCTCATTAAAATTATACTGTGTCACAAGGCCGCCCGGGGGGGGGGGGCAAGTGGGGCAATTTGCTCCAGGCCCCCACGAGAGTTTTTCGGGGCCCCTGGAGCGGGGTCCTTCACTCGCTCCGGGGGCCCCGGAAAACTCTCACGGGGCCTGGAAAACTCTCACGGGGCCCGGGCCCCCGGAGCGTCTTCCGCTCCGGGTCTTCGGTGGCAATTCAGCAGCAGGGGGTCCTTCCGCTCCGGGACCCGCCGCCGAAGTGCCGGGTCTTCGGTGGCAATTCGGCGGCGGGTGCCCCCCACCGCCGAAGACCCCAGGCCCTCTGAATCCTCTGGGCGGCCCTGCTGTGTCATGATATAGAAAAGTTTTTATTTTACTAATCTGGATAAATTTAAAGCTAGAAATAATAAGAAATATTTTACCCAGAAGCAGCTCTTGACAATCTCCTTCTCTGCATTTTTAATGCATCTGTCACTAGAATATCTAGGTGACAATGTGATTACTGTGACTGCTTTTTTCTTTTTAAACAAACTGACCACTTCTTAAGTTTCTGCATGTCTAGTACATCTTTAAAGTTTGGTTCAGTGACGAATTTTCTTCCATTAGATTTTATGTGATTTGATATTTGGAAATGTTCACTAAGATGAAATAGTGAATATACATATTTTGTTTTTTGTTAAGTAGCAGTCAGTTTTCTTCAGTCAACAAAGGAAGAAAGAGTAAATCAACTACTTCAGCCAGGTACCAAAAGTGGCTTATTTTTAATTGTGAAGGTAAAACTAACACTGTTATAGGGATTTTGCAACACTACTTTCGCTTGTATCCCTTATTTTATAGAACAAAACTTTATAAAACAGATTAATATAGTTTGAAACTTGTGTTCTTTTTGCAGTATCTAAGTGTTTGACCTTGCTCATTGAAATTCACCCAGTTAATAATGTAAGAGTCCTAAAGGCTGTGGATACCTGTATCAGAGTACAGGTAAATGATTCAACTAATCTGACTGTAGCTTTTCATTTATTACTTTTAAATTCCCCTGCGTTTTCACGTTAAAGTACCAATATTGCATTATGTAACTGAGATAGATTATGCTTTTGTAATATTTAGTACAATATGAGTAGACTATGCTTTTGATTTGAACTGTCTATTTTATCTATCTTGAATCTTTCTAAGATTATATTCATAGCAACTAATAATGATTTTCATCTGTAGTAATGCTGCTGTTGTTTATGGAGGATTATCAATGTGTCAATCTGTATACAAAAGTTATTCTGCTGTCAAATAAATCTCTTAAAAATTATAAACAGTTTAGATTAGCTTTAGCAACAAAGTCTCTTGGCGATTATTTTTACATAATTTCCTTTTACAGTTTCTCTATCCAGTTGCAGACAGAAATCCTTTTCCAGAAAGCCAGCTCTTACTAATTTCAGAAGATAAATGTAAGTATTTGAGCTAATATTTTAAATATATATTGCTTTTCTGGTTAAACATGGACATCCTATTATTTTGAAACACCGTAGACTAGAACTATATTGCTAATTTGGCTTCAATATCCATTTTTATTTACTTATTTCTCCCTTCCATAAAAGCCAATATAGAAATAAGAAAAATCTCAGCCAATAATAATATTACAGATGCTATTCCAACAAAGGTATACTTTAATAAGATTTTTTCCAATATTGGAGGAATGGCCAATCTTGACTGCGTTCTTATTTTATTTTTGATTAGCTAATGCATTGCCCATGAGCAGCCTTTTCTTCCCCCCCCTCCTCCCCCCAAGAACTGAAGGTGAAATTATGCTTTCTCATATACTGGTATAATTTCAGAGCAGTTCTGTTGACTTAAGTAGAGCTACTCTTATTTTACACCAGTATAAATAGGATAAGACTTTGGATATAAATTCCAGAAATTAAAATGGCTGCTATAAACTACAGCAGTGCCCTTATAGTATCCATTGGCCATATCCTGTAGTCCTTACTCAGGGAAAATCTCAATGATTTTGTTGGGAGTTTTGCCTGAGTAAGGACTGTAATATTTGGCTTATTATTCATTTAACTCTTATGCCAGGAGTTGATCTTTCCAGTGCTAGGTGGTTAAATTGTTTTGCTAACCATATTAACATATTTTAAAAAAAATTGAATTTCAATTTTTCTAATTTTAAAGATATTGAACAATTTCACATTCATGTTGTCACAGAAGATCACCACAAAGTGGTAAGAAACCAACTTTCTTTTGATGCTTTTATTGAAAAACTAGAGGAAGACTATTTTTATAACCAGTTTTCTACTGTTGTTTTTCTGACCTTTCTAAATCGTTGTTTTGGTAATGCTTTAAACTGTGGCTACAACCGTGAAAGCTATATTAATAAATGTACAGATAGTATAGTAGGTTATTCAACCAGATACTGTGTAACTTATGAGGAAAGTTAGTCATTTCATTGCCTTCTCCTTAAGTCTATGAACTTGACCTTATCAAAGGGTATGTTTAGAAGTTCACAGCTTCCCCAAAGCCTAAATATTTTGGGTGATAAGAATGGAGCTAAAGGGCTTTCACCCACCCTTGTGTTCTAGGACTCTGACATGGAGGAGAGTTTAGAAAGATGACCTGTATGGAGGATGCATGAAGTAGCAACAAAACCGAATGATGCATCTAAAATTCAGTTTGAAAGTGGTGATGTGAATGCTTGAATTATGCATTCCCCTGTATTTATAACATAAGATATGAATCCTTATTATAGTTGCTAGTAGTAACATTAATCATTGGTGCCATTATTAAAAGACTATACAAATCCACTAGTGTGTGTCCTATTTAAAATGAAATGCAATAATCAGTGTCAATCTAATGCAGTTGTCATCTATTTGCTGTATCATGAAAACCACAATTCATTTAATTGTGGCAAACATAGGCGCCAACTTTCCCCGGCACCGATGGGTGCTCGCGCCGCCCCGCCCCGCCCCAACTCCACCCTTTCCCTGCCCCTGCCCCGTTCCCATTCCAACCCCTTCCCCAAAGTCCCCGCCCCAACTCCGCCCCCTCCCTGCCCCATTGGACCCCTTCCCCAAATTCCTGCCCCGGCCCTGCCTCTTCCCCCGAGCGCGCCACGTTCCCCCTTCTTCCCCCTTCCTCCCAGCCACGCAAAACAGCTGTTTCACAGCGCAAGCACTGGGAACTAGGGGGGGAAAAGCAGGCACGCAGCGTGCTCAGGGGAGGAGGCGGAGGTGAGCTGGGGGGGGGGCGGGGAGCTGCTGGGGGGTGCTGAGCACCCACCAATTTTTCCCCGTGGGTGCTCCAGCCCTGGAGCACCCACGGAGTCAGTGCCTATGGTGGCAAATAAATGTTTCCCCTCCAAACCTATAAGTCCTTATTCTCAGTTACTGTAAGGCCTTTCACACTGCTCTGGCAGTGAAAGTGTCTTAAGGTGGGTGCAATTTTTTAAAAAAAAAATGTAAGAGTAGGGAAAAGGGCTTTAGAGTAACTGAAAAGCAGGCCCTTAGTCTATGCCAGTTTCTGTCAAATAAACTGTTTAACTGTTACTTGAAATGACGTCTTTCTGCATCTGCCAAGGGTAAACTTAGATGGTCCTAATCATTTCCCACTATTTTAGCCTCTTCCCTCCTCATTCATTATGTGTTTGGAAAGAGGGGACAAGACTCCCTTTGGAACTAGCAACTTTCCTCCTTCATTGGCTAATAAAGATTGTTGCAGTCAGTTCAAAAGCATCTCACATCCCATTTCTCTCCCCTTCCCTGGGACTAAGCTTGCCATCTATTCTCCCTCCCCACCTTCAAGGGACTTGGGAGGGTAAGTTGTTCTTTGTGATTTCCCTTCCCCTCCCAACTCTGCCAAACTATCCTTCCAATCTAGAAAATCCTAGATGCAACATCCTTGGGAGCTAGCAAATATTTCTCCTGAACTGAACATACTGCCTCTGCAATGTGCCAGGCCCTCTGGTTTACAGAGACTCCTGTGAAATGAGCAAATCGGACATTAAGCTACTTGGAAATATTAAAACAATCAGGCTGTTCTGTGTGCTGCTGTTTATCTTTTGAAAGCCTGAGTTGTTCATCATCTTCATTACAGAAGAGTATTTGACGTATAGTGTTTAGCTCATTTTTTAAATCTTTCCCTTCAGGTGATTCAAAACTCAGGCCAGCTCCCAAGAGACAGAGTTGCAGATGATCTCATTTGGGCACAATGGGATATGACAGAACAAAGACTCTTCTACATTGTTCCAAAGGTGGGAAAAAATTAGATCGGTGTGTGTTCTCATCTCTCTTTCATTTTCTGATATGAAAGTTTGAGTTTAAAAGCCAGTAATAATGGTGTGAGTTGGATTATTTTGGGTAGTAAGAAGAGTAGGATAATGAAAATTAGAGGCCTAAATTAGACTTTCCATGCTATTGTTTACATGTGAGTATTTGCAGTGAGATGTGGTGTCAGTGCTTCCCAGGTAACAGAGGGATTTTTTTTAAAGGTAGTGCTGATGTATGTGATTATCTAAACCTATTATAGCTAGCACATGCGCCCTAGGAATATGGACTTGCCAATTTATGAGACAATATCATTTGCAGGCCAGGGCATATAGATGTAAGAAAGCATAGACCATGTGCACCAACTGAGGAAAGTTTCAAACTGCTTTTCATTCTGACTAATGGGAATAGCCAAACTTAGCCTAAGTTATGCATGAACAAAAATGGACTTTCAGAGCTAGTTCGTTTGGGTTTTTTTGATGCACTGAAATTAGCTGGAGTATTTCAGAAAGGATGGGAAGTGTAATATATAATGAAGAGCTCATCTCTATTCTACTTTTTGCAAGAGGCCTTTTGGAGATGTGCAAAATAAGATACTGTTCTTAATAGCTTTAGTCTCTATGGAGCAAAAGGTTACTGAAAGCTGTTCTGTAACCTTCTAGTGGCTTTGTGTGTGTGAAAGAGGCGTGTGATTGGGTATTGCACAAGACCGTAACCAATTATAGACAGAAGATAGACAACTGATCTGGGACAGGAAGGAAGCATGTGTGCTGGGGAGTGCTATTTGAGGGTTTAGTGTGTGGTTTTGGCCTTTTTTCTCATCCACTTGTTGCCTTATGCATGTTAGCAAACAGGGCTGAATGATGGACTTTCCAACCATCTCTGTCTGCGTGATGTGGCTCGATTATTATAATAAAAGTCTCTCTCTTAATTTTAGGAATCAAGGAATATCTTAAAATGTGTCCAGTTTTACCCTGATGAAAACTTTAATTTAATAGTAAGTCATAGATATAAACTTGTTGTCATATAGCTAGTCTGAGGGGGGATTTAGTTATATATTTCAAGGGATGATCATTAAGTTTATTCCCAAGTATTTGTATTTGATATTTTTATTAGCGTGAATTATTATATAAAACCACAAACCTTGGAAACGTTCTTCAAAATGTAATGACCAGATTCTAATCTAAATACATTAGAGTTACTCCACCGATTTTGGATTAACATATAATCGTAGGACTGGAAGGGACCTCAAGAGGTCATCTAGTCCAGTCCCCTGCACTCCTGGCAGGATTAAGTACTATTTAAACCATCTAGAACATCTGTGCAATCCCACTGAAGTTCATGGAATTACTCTAATTTTAGACCAATGGAATTAAGTAGCACTTGCAAATCAAATTAGATGGAGAAATGAAGGCCTGCTCCTGCTCCCATTGACTTAAATGGAAACAAGATTGAGTCTATATGTCATTGAGTGTTGAGGGCACTCTATAGTTATCTGGATTGGATTCTTTGTGACAAAGTCTGAAATTCATGTTTGTGCTTGGGGCCTGCATGGATGCCCCTGACACATGGAAGTGGATGTATCCCAGCTAAAGGTTTGGTTAAGTGGTCTCTAGGGGATCTTATGTGAGGCTTCTGTGTGGGAGTGAATTTTGCTCACAGTGCACTGTAAGTTAAAAGGCAGACTGAGGGCTGATGGGTCCAGACCATGACTCTCTGCTCCTCCCGCCCCCCTTTACTTGAAATCCCTGTAGTATTGCTGCCTTGGAGCTCAGCTGTTTTGATGTACTTCTCATATAAAGACAGAATGGCATTCCCAGTGACACAAATTTTAAGTTGTTTAAAATATGAAACTTGCCTTAGTTAGGCTTACAAAGACATTAAACCTTTACATTGGCTTAACACAAAAGTATCCCATTCCATAATTGTATAAAACCCCTACTGGGAGGGGAAACTATTTTCTGAGTTCTTGAATGACTTAAAAGGATCAAGTGGTGGTCGATGAATCCATGTTTTCCTTTGTGAAATTGGTGAGTTGGATGAAGAGTGAATGAGCCCAGAGTATCCTTTACTGGACTGCAAGACCAACCTTAAATACTGAATAATGTAGGTGTGTTCTGATTTTTGGGTTAACAGCTTGAAGCATCCCTGGACATCTCTTTAAGAGACATAGGATTAAAGTAAGTGGATCACAGAGTATTTTTGTCTCATCTGTCAACATGTGTGTCTAAAATTTGGTTTATTAACACATTAACTTCATTTGGCATTGCCTGCATCTTTGCACCGTATGACTTGAATCCATGTACCTGTTGTTGTGACCTGACTTATGTGGCGGTAAAGGGGAGGAAACAGTGTCACATATGACCTTCAAACCCTCCTCATAGCTTTCCCCTCCTTCATCTCCTTCCATGGTATGGTGAAGCCAGACAAGAAGTTTGACACGGTCACAGGTCCCTTCCCGTTGGGAGCGGTTCGCTGGAGAACCAAATATAGACTAAGCCACCCTTCCTGGGGGATACAGTGACCCCATCTAAATAAAACCAACTTTCCTTAATTTCCTTCTGAGGTCACAGCCTCTCTACAGCTGGCCTGTGGCAGTGTCCCCAAAACTTCCATTCCATTTCTGGGATTCCTTTTCCAGCTACCGGGCTCGGCCCCAGGCTGGTAATTGGGCAGACCAACAGCTCATCTTTTGTCTCCATCTCTTCCTGTTATGAGGGATGATAGCTATTTATATACCCTTTCTCTTTCCCAGCATGCCTTGCAGTGGTAGCTTACAGTTCCAAACTGTACCCCACACTAGCACTTCCAGCATGCTTCAGTACTAAGCAGAAAGCTGAAGGTTGGTAGTGCTGTACGTGGAGTCTACCTTAAAGGACCAGTACAGACCGTTACAGTTGTGATATAGTACTGAAGAAAACCAACTTCACAATTGCTAAAACTCATCCGAATCTTTGTGGAAAGGTCAAGAAATTATGTCTGGAGGAGGACCATTTTTTTAAAAATGATTTAGTGCATAATTTACTATTGATAGATTGTAGCTAATAATTAACACTTATGCCATGTTAGTTTTTTCCAAGATCTGTGAAAACTACAGACAACATTAGAATCTGAAAAAGAACCAAAATGCAGAACTGGTAATACCATAGAAATTAGCCCAATTTTGCTGCACCCTTCCCTTATTTTGTGACTATTCCCATTGAAATCAGTGTGACTACTCACAGAGTAAGGTACTACTTGGCATGAGTAAGGGTGGTAGATTTGGGCTCCAAACCTTTTGACCTCTCAGATATGGTGACTGAATAAATTGAGACCCTCCAGCATAATTTTCCTTCACCTTGATTCGGCTAGTGTGGAATTAAGCAATATGGTGCAGTGAAGAAATAACTTGCAGGCATATGGAATGTCTCCTTTTAAAATATGGTTATGAAGCAATTGCTTCATTTTGACTCAATCCCAACCCTAAGAGAGTAAACTAACAGAACAGACCGATCAATTGTAGTTTAATTAAACTTTCTTATGGAATGTTTAATAATAATCTAATTCTTATATTTCCCTTGTGACTTTCATGGGTTCAGCGTACTCTTTAAAAATCATTGTGGACGAAGAAATGCATTTAATGGTCTCTATTTATTTCTAGATTTGTGAATTTTGGATATGATTACTCTCAAGACCAAGAGATGGAACCTAGATCTCTGAATCTGCAAGTTTTTACCAGTAAAACAGGTAATTGATAATGAAAAACTGTCTTGTGATGATCATATGTTACAGATTACTACACTGAAGTGTAGTTGTGTAACTAATTACTAAGAAGTCTTAGGAGCTCATTGTTATATGTTTATGACTAAACTTTTCCTGATGTATAGTACTCATAGCAGATCTTGGGGGAAACTGAGCTGAGGAAAGTAGTGGATCGCCTTTTTTTTGTAGCTATAGTGATTTTTAATCTAATGACCATGGAAGGTCTGGAGTAACTAAACTATCTTGAGCCAGGCACATAGTGCCTGATCCAAAGCTTATCAAAGTCAGCGGGAATCTTTGTTTACTTCACTGGTCTTTGGATCAGATTTCTAATGCAGACTTCTTCAGATCTGTCAGCAGTGTTATTCAGTCCTCAGAGTCTCTTGAGCCGAGCCTACCAATTATGCTGATCTGTGGAGTGCACAGCTGAGGACTAGGGTGAAGCCCTCATACTTATGTTCACTGCTGCTTTCAGTCATTATGTGAAACCTGTCTTCAAGGGTAAAAAAAAAAAAAAAACCAAGTGCACGAATACCTTGTGAGACACTTACATTTCTTTAGATTTATAAAATCCTCTAGATGCCCATCATATTCTCTGGGCACATCCTATACATTTAAAAGGATTGGCCATAAGTATCCTTGAAGTCCCTCAAAGTCTTAGCTTTCCCCATCAACCCCCAAAACCTAAAAAAAGTGGTGGGTTTCTCAGTGTGCCTGGCTCTATCAGACTCCAAGTCAAGCTTCTTGCTATTCATTCTGAGGTGGTGCCTGCTCAAGAATCTCTGCCGATCTCACCTCCTGCTGTAGGATGCAGAGAGAGACAAGTTCTCTCTGAAGTAACCAAGTCCCAACCCATCTAGGTTTATACAGTAGCACCAACACCTCAGACTGCCCCCAGAAACTTACTGGCAGCTAGAGCAGATCCCCAGGCAGTGATGTAATGCACTTCCAAGGCGAAACTTCTCTTAATCAGCAGATGGCAGCATTCTGCACGACCTTCAGTTTCCAAGTGGTCTTAAGGTGTAGCCCCATGTAAGAACATTACAGCAAGCTAATATTAAGCTGACAAAGGCCTGGATAATTGTTGCAAAATCTGCATCAGAGAGAATGGTCATACCTTCTTCACCAGAAAAATGCTCTTGGCTGTAGATACTACCTGGGCATCCCCAGGAGCAGCCCCGGATCTAACAACACCTCTGAAGTGTACACCTGTGCTACAACAGCCTGGTCTACGCTATAGCGTTAGGTTGATGTAAGGCAGCTTACGTCGACCTAATTATGTCAGTGTGCACACTGCAGCCTTGCTCTCGCCTATGTAAGTGCCCTACTACATAACATAATAACTCCACCTCCACCAGAGGCATAGGGCTTGTGTCAGTGTAGTTCGGGCAACGCAGTGTCCCTGGAGACACTGTCTTACTTACAGCTATTGGCTGTCATTCTTGTCCAGCGGAGCTGTGAAATTGACAAGAAAGCTGGCTCCCCTGCTACCTGGGCTGCTACCTGGTCTCCGCTCCAAGCCAGGCTCCCAATTCCCTGCAGGGAGCCTGAAGGGCCATAATCCATTTAATGTGGATGTAAGATCTTAACTACAGTTTCTGTTCAGAACTTTTCATATAGGCCCAGAGTCCACAGCTTGGCCTGGGGCATGAGGGCTAACGAACTCCACACGGTGTCCATTTCTGTTCCTTCAGAGCCCTGCTCCCCCTGGGGTTCTGGCTCCCCACTCTGACTGATCTGGGCTGCCCCCCAGGCTCTTGGCTCCCTACTGGGAGCACTGCAGCCGACCAGACTCCAGGCGCAGATCTCCCTACCAGGAGTCGGCTGCCCCTCCCCCCAGGCTCCCCGCTCCCCACTGGGAACAGGGCAGCTGACTGGACTCCAGGTGCAGAGCTCCCCACTGGCTGCAGCTGTGCTCCCAGTGGGGAACCCAGAGCCTGTGGGAGAGGGCAGCGGGGCTCTCGGTGGGGTGCTTCGCGTCTGAGGTCCGGTTGGCTGCCATGTTTTTTTTTTTTTTTTTTTTTTTTTTAAGAATATGAGGGTTGGAAGGGACCTCAGGAGGTCATCTAGTCCAACTCCCTGCTCAAAGCAGGACCAATCCCCAGACAGATTTTCCGCCCAGATCCCTAAATGGCCCCCTCAAGGATTGAACTCACAACCTGGGTTTAGCAGGCCAATGCTCAAACCACTGAGCTATCCCTCCATTCCCCGTGGAAAGCCAAGAAGCCCAATGCAGCTGCCCTGTTCCTGGCGGGGAGCGGGGAGCTGAGATGGGGGGAGGCAGCCCAGCTCCCGGAGGGGAGCCAGGCTACTGGTGGGGAGCTGCGCGCGGAGCTGGGAGTCCTGGCTCTCAGGCCCCCCCACACTCCCTTTTAAGTTGGTGGAAGCGCTCTTGGTGGGGACGCGCACCATCGACAGAAGAAAGGCTGTGCGGACGTGAACCACTGCAGTAATTACTGTGGTGGCTGTAAGCCGACCTAACATAGGTTGACTTAAGTTTATAGTGTAGACATGTCCTACATGCACGTGCATAAACTGAGTACTGCAAGATCCTATTGCTGTACCTCATATTTTTTTTATCACCCCACCTCCTCCCTGCTGTTTCTCTCACTCATCTAAAATTTACTTTGTAAACTCTTTGGGGAGGGGAATGTGTCTTCTGTGAAGTGCTTAGCATACTTCAGAGTCTACAAAACATTAATACTAGGGCTCTTATTCGTTCGGTTTTAAACTGTTTCCAGTAAAGAATTGGCACAATTTCAAATGGAATATTCTATGCAATTTCCAATTTAATAAAAAACTGTTAGTGACTGTAGCCTGTCTCAACTCTGAATGAAGCCGCTTTTTCTCTCTCAAACTTCCGTAGCAGAAGAAAAGTAGCCCTGTTACTCATAGCTAGCACTAACAAGATAGAATGTCACTAGACCCCAAAAAGCCCTGCTCACAAATTAGCTGAGATCAAACAAGTCTGAGAATTAACTTTCTATTTTCTGAACAGCGTTAATGATTATTTAACCGTCGGTATGGTCTCATGAACTTTGTGATTAGGGGTTATTTTTTTTTAGCTTGGAGATTTTTATTTTCAATTTAGTTTATTGATCTTTCAGAAACATAGACAATAAAAGACCCATCTCCTCCTCTGCTTCACCATTTGTTAGCTAGCATATCGATGACTCTCTTTGGCTGTGTTGTGCATTGAGTCTGTACACAGGATATATGCAAGACATTTATGTACAGTGACACATTGTATTTGAATTAGGAGATGTTCTGATGCTGCAGGAGATATTTTAATGCAACATTATGGTTGAGATTCTACATGAACAAAAGGCAAGAAATTAAAGTTCGTTTCTTAGGGAAATGTAACTTTATGCATATATGGAATTGCATGGCACCTTCTATGGTAATTTCAATGTCTTAATGTATAGTTGCTATTTCCTGACTCTTGTATGTCCTAAAATCTTATCATGGAGTTGCATGAGCAGAACTATATTTTTAAACTCTTCCTTTTTTTGTTTTGTTTCTGGCTTTCCATCTTCCCTGCCCCCCCCCCCCATTTTCTCCTCTTCTCCCTCTTTGTTTTTGAAGAAGAAAAAGGAGAGTTTATCAAATATCTGAATGTACAACCTGCTGATCACACTCCAAAAGCAATTGGACCAAACTCTCCAATGTCATGACTGCACTTCCACTGACTTCAGTGGAGCTGTGCTCATTTATGCCATTACTTTCTGCAGAGAATTTGGCCCAGTGTTTTGTGTGAGACTTACTGCTTGTGAACAGTGCTGGAGTGTAAACTCTGTGTTCTGTGGATAAACAGAAAAACTACAGTACTGTTTACAACTCCACCACTAGCAACACAATCTTTTCCATACTGTCCACCAACGTGTGTCAGTCGTGCAGGGACCATGAGGTGGGGCAAGAAAATAGTTCACTTTATACTCTGTCTTTGGCCTCTCTACTGAGATTGCTAACATGGTGACAGATGTGGTGACTCTTGTGAAATGTGTACCTGTCTACTTGTAAGTGGACTGAGACCAGTCTCCCTTTATCTAAGTCACTGAAAAGCAATTGGATGGCAACTTCTTTTGTTCACTACCAACCTCTGAGAGATGAAAGCACGTGTGTCCCATTAGCCGTCTACTGAGCCATCCAGTTCTCTGGTCACATTTGCATACCTATGCACCAATGCATTAATCTGAATTCAAGATGTTTAGTTTGCACATTCAATTCAAATTGTGCAGTTTATAGGGCAGTGTACTCCACAGCACACTTTGTCCTTCCCAGCATGTGAAAATGAAATTGGCAATGTGGAAGAGGAGACCATGGCAAGAAAAAAGCACTGGAAGAGGCCCAGAAAAGCCACAACCTTCCTGCTGTGGCCTTTTGCTGCTGCTTTAAAAATTCTGCATGTTCCATAAGGCCCCAAATGATCAGGGACACCCCATCTATTTGTTTCAGTACCTCAAATATCCAAGCAAAACTCTATCAAACTTACCAGAACTATTCAGCACGCTGGAAACGAACATGAATTTCAGTCAGAGGAAATGATCTCTCTTCCCCCTCCTGAAAGTTAAATGCCTCAGCCAAATATGTAGCATTACTAGTGCAATGCTATAGTGCAGCTTTGTGCTCAGACGTTCTAGGCACTTTTAATAAAGTGAAATCTCTTGAGGTTGGATACTTGTACTTTTGATCAGTATACTGTGCATCTATTTGCATTATAAAAGTGTGTGTCTATGTGTACATTTATCTGTGTCTTTTGATAGCAGTATCTTTGTTAGCAATACATTTTTTTTAGGCACTAAATTATTGACAAAGGTAACCGCTGTATGATCATAGTTCTCTCTTCTGCTCTCCCAGTTGAATTGGGACAGCATGGATTTGGGGCTGCTTGAGGCATAAATTCCAAAAATAACTGGCTAAAGTGATGGAGTAAGACGACCAAGGTGTTTAATTTGTTTCCTATTTTATCAGATCTGGAGGGCAGGCTACTATTAGATGGGGTCAAAATGGTCAGTCATTCTCAATGGGGGTCGGGTGGGGGAATAAGGTTAGGACAAAGAATAATTTACCATGGCTGAACTGTGCTTATGATAAGGACAAATTTCTCTTCTAACAAGGAAATATCACTCTACTTAAGGAAGAAAAGTCAGGATTTCTCTGAAGCATGAGAAGGTACTAGTAAATATCCTTTAGGCCCGGGTTAATTCTGCACTTGCAGCAGGATGGTGAGATAACTAGACCTTTACTTTGTGGTGTTCTGTTTTGCACATTCAATTACAGCATTGCATCTTGGCAGCTTTTAATAGATAATCTCCAGAAATCTGGGCTTCCTGTAGGTACAGTGGTCTGGTCAGTGGTTCAGATGGTGCTAGAATGCTTTCTACAGCAAAGAGCTGAAAAATGCAGTTTCTCTGAATTAGAAGGATTTGCTGAGCCTTCAGAACCCAAAATTGCATTACAGTGTATTTTCTCCTGCATTTCCCTATCTTATTATTCATACTCAACCTTTTTTGCCTTCTTCCTCTTTAGCTAAGAGGAAGCTATTCCCTTGATGTATGTATATTTCCATAGTCCTGAAAGTTGTTTAAGAATGTTTTAGATTAAAGATAACAAAGATGCTTTTTCTTAGTTTTTAGGATTGGGTTCTGCAGCCGGTATCCATCTTTTGAGAAATATAAAGTGGATCAGCGAAGGCAGACATAACTTATTCAGTGAACAAGTATGATAACAAAACCAACCTCCATTTCAATCTCTCTTTATTTTTATTTTTTTAGGAAGTTTTTGTCTGTGTTGTAGTCAGGCTCCTGATATTCCGAAGGAGGTCACATACTCAGTTTCTTTTTTACATAAAGGTACAGTTAATCTGTTTTATTCTATTGTTCTTTCTTACTTTATTTTAGTGTGTCATTTTGTACCAGTCTATAGGCAGCTACATGATGAACAAAAATTTGATAATGGACTTTAGTCACAGGTATAACAAAAGTCAATGGCTGGGAGTTGAAGCTACACAAATTTAGACTGGAAATAAGGTGCAAATTTTTAACAGTGAAGATAATTAACCATTGGAACAATTTACCAAGAGTTGTGGTGGATTTTCCCTCACTGGCAATTAAATCTAGATTGGTTGTTTTGCTAAAAAGATATGCTCTAGTTCGAACAGAAATTACTTCAGGGAAGTCCTGTGGTCTGTGTTATACAGAAGGTCAGCCTAGATGATCACGGTGGCTCATTCTGGCTTTATAATCTCTGAAAAATTAACCAATTAGTTCTAAGCCCTTCTTGGTAAGAATAGAGACTAGCATTTCAGTCCAGGCAGAGGAAGATTTGTTATATCCGATGAGAAATATAACATAGTATAGACCAGGGCCGGCTCTAGGCACCAGCAAACCAAGCACGTGCTTGGGGCAGCACATTTTCAAGGGCGGCATTCTGGCCTTTTTTTTGCTTCCGCTGGCAAAAGCCTAGAGCCGGCCCTGGCAGCAGCAGTGCGTCGTGGGTGGGGGGCGCCCTGGGGCCACTGCAGTTCATGCCGCGGAGGAGCAGCGCCCACACCTTGTGGCTGGGCTGGGCAGGCTCCGAGCGGGGGACACTCGGGCTGGGGGCCGCCCCATGGGGCGCATGGAGCCGCCTGCATGTGCTGCAGGGCGGTCGCCCCCCAGCGCGGTAGCCGGGGCTGGGCGAAGCGGCCCAAGCCGCCCAGGGGCTGCTGCAGGGCGGCCAGAAGCAGCAGCAGCGTTAGCACTGCCGTTCGGGCCCACGTCCCGCTCTCCGGGGCTCCGCTTCCTCTGGGGCTACCCTGCCCCGGCTCCTCAGGCCTCTGTTAGGGCGTTCCCCCGGCTCTGCCCTCCAGGGTCCCAGCCGGTCCTGAAGGCGGGAGCCCTGGCTGGAGGGACCCTGGGCTGAGGCATGACCCAGGAGTCCCGCTGCTTACCCTGACCCTGCCAGTGCCGGACCGGCTGGAGGCAGATGGGAAGCAGGCAGAGTCAGGACTGGTGAGGGGGAGCCCCGGGCTGGGGTTGCAGGGGGTGTGGGTGGGGGGGAAGAGAGAGTCCAGCGCTGGGGCGGCAGGGGGTGTGGGGGGGGAAAGAGGGAGCCCAGGGCAGGGGGGGCAGGGGATGGGGGGGGGGGGAAGAGCCCAGGGCTGGGGTTGGGGGCAGCCAAAAAATTGTTGCTTGGGGCGGCAAAAAACCTAGAGCCGGCCCTGGTATAGACAAAGAATCTCAGAAGTTCTGTGGTTTGGATAGACTTGCACTGCTCCGAATTCTCTCTCTATAGTTATAATTTGCATATAACAGATGTTTCATGTGTGTCTTCCCAGGTTACAGCAAAACCTTTACAGTTGCTCTACAAAAAACAGATTACCCACAAGTGAAGGAAGTAGCTTTTTTGAATCTTGGTAGGTTGCTAATGTAGCTTCACTTGTTTCCTCTCCCCACTTTGAGAAGGGAGAGAAATTGTTAACCTCCAGCCTTTTGGTGGACCCTCTCCTCTTCATAAGAGGGACATAAAGTTCCCCCCCCCCCTCCCTTCATAAGTTACGTTATTTGCTACATTTTGCAACTTACTTGACTTCCATTTTTGGCACTTGATATTGCAATACCTCATATTGTCAGTGAGCAACTTCCTCTGAAGTTAACTGTACTTCTCTGGAGATCAGCTAGTATAGCGCTCTTGAGTTGCGTGAGCCTCTCGCATCCTCCCCTGGAAACCTGAATGTATAACCTATATTTCCTGTGTTAACCCTGCAACTGCTATTAACTAACCCCTGTTATAGCTCCTAGACATAACCTGTTCCAATAAAGAGAACTGGGCTGAGAATTCATAAGTCCCAGCCTCCCAAAGTAAATATTTTAACAGTTGCTCAAATTGATGGCTCTTTTTATTTTGAACAGACTATTACGTGGCTGTTTATTTGCCTGGCCACTTTCTGCACCTCCTCAATACTCAACATCCTGACCTGATGTGCTATAATTTGTTTCTGACAGGTACAGTAAAACTTTAGTACTTTGAAGTCTTTAGCGTCTCTTTTATTGTTGACTTTGGTGTTCAGCTCCCTTTGGAGGAGAATTCAGTTCATTTTATTGGCCTCACATCTGCATTACTGTACATTGTTCTCTGAAAAGCCTAGAAGATAGGGATCAGGCAGAATAAGACATGCATTTTTGGCACACTCAATTTTAAAAAGAAATGATGAACTTTCTTATTTCATCCATTACTCACTGTTAGCGTGTTATGAAATGAAAGAAGACCATTCAGTGAATTGCATTCTCTGCCACAGTTTAATAATTTCCCATCCCCCTGTGCATGTTTATGGATGCTCCAGTATTCTCAAATTTCACATGGAGATGCAAATTTAATTTTACAAAACCTCAATTGGAGGAAGGAAATGTATATATGTTCGAGTGGAGTGGGGAGAGGAAATCTGCATTTCCTTCACCTGATCAGAGTAATGTAATTTGGTTTGAAGTCTCATCTGAAAGGCACATTATTTCACTTCCACAGAACCGTACTTTATAGGAAATGGGTTATTTTTGGAAATAGAAGGCCTTTGTTTGAAAACAGAAGGCCATTTTTCTGATTGGGTAAAAGAAAGGTAGGCTACTAGGACTGGTGCAGCTCTGACATATGCAGCAATGTCAAAAAGAAACTAATAGCTGGTTGGAGGTGGGAATATAAATAAATATTTTCCTGCAGAAATACCCGAGGTAGGTAGGAAGCATTATTTTATTTTCTGCATGGTGGGTGTGATTTCTGATGCAGTGGGCCTGGAATTACACTGGCAGAAAACTGGAGTAACTCAGTAGTGAATCTGTTCCAGTATATGCAAAGTGGTTTTGGTTTTGGGTTATGTTTAAATTTAGTACTAAAAAGCAGAATCTCCCTGTTCTTATAGTTTGGTGCAGGCTGCTGTTTAGATGGCCCAATACAGTGTTAGCATGTTGTTCTGGGTGGTACAGACTTACTGCATCATAATTAGTACAGACTAACTCACTCTACTCTGTTATTAAAATGATGGCCATCTACTTTAGTGATTCAAATTCAGGCAAGAGTTAGATACTTTGTTTCTCCCTCCCCCAAACTGAAGGGATTTGGTGTGCTACTGAGGTCCTGGGCAGTAGAGGTAGTTGCTTGCACTAGTGAATGGATGCTTCTAAAGGCAGTTAAGGAAGGTCATTAAATGAATCCCATCCAGTCATTTTAAGTTTCAAGAACAATGGCCACGAAGCAGTGAAGACTGAGGGCAGGTCTGCACTAGAAGCGCTATATTGGCACAGATGCACCAGTGCAGCTACACCGCTGTATTGCGTCTGGTGAAGACGCCGCATGCCGACGGGAGAGTGCTCTCCTGTCGGCTAATTACTCCACCTCCATGAGAGGCGGAAACTATGTTGATGGGAGAGCATCTCCTGCTGACGTAGTACCGGTGTGGACAGCGCTTATGTTGCAGTAACTTGCGTCACTCAGGGGGGTGTCTTTTTCACACCTCTGAGCGACATAAATTACATTGGCTTAAGCGGTAGTGTAGACCTGCCCTGAGTGCTAAGACACAATGGTGATCTGTGCTAGGGAAAAATCTAAGACAGGTAGGGCCTGATTTTCAGAAGTTCTGAGCACTTACATCTCTCACGGTCTTCAAAGGGACCTGTGGGTGCTTAGCACTTCTGAAAACAGCTGGCCAGTAGGGTGGGATGGGAAATTAAAGCATGTGAGGGGAGAGAAAGTGAAGGAGGGGTGGATTATTTCTCACCATTGGAGACCATGAGATCGTGGGACGTGGCAGAGGGGAGAAATCTGTGGTAAATAGAGCTTATGTGCACTCAAAGACCTTTCTTCCTTTAAACCCCCTCCCTTCAGGTGAGGATGCGAGAATCAACATGCTGCACAAAAGTTCCATCCAGTCCCCGTTCAAGTCAGCTGTCTGGGATTGCTGCTCAGGAAGAATGTTTACTGTAAGAATAAATGAGTGTTCCTTGATGCAATTCCTTTGGAACAGTAAACTGGACAGTGATAGACTGGCAGCGCTGCACTGTGCTCTTCTACATGTCAGAAATACAACAGATTTGGAAATGCAGGTAGGAATATAACTTACCGTATATACTAGTTCATAAGCGGAATATTTTTGTTAAAAAAGTGACGCATCAAAGAGCAGGGGTCGGCTTATAAACGGGTCTACACCAAAATTTGATGATTTTAAACTCCTATGGAATCATTGAATTGAATATCTAATACATTGTCCTTTTGTTTACTTGGAGTGTCTGCAGGCATGGAGCCCCTCAGCTCCCTGTGGCCGCGGTTCGCTGTTCCTAGCCAATGGGAGCAGCGGGAAGTGGCGCCACTTCCCGCAGCTCCCATTGGCTGGGAATGGCAAACCGCGGCCACTGGGAGCTAAGGGGCTCCGTGCCTGTGAATGCTCCAGGTAAACAAAATGTCCCAACCCACCAGCGGCTTACCCTGATGGGCTGGGAGCCAAAGTTTTCCAACCCCTGAAATATAGAGTCGGCTTATGAAAGGGTCATTCATTTTTTGCTATTTTTGCCTATCCATTTTGGGGGGTTGGCTTGTAAACGAACGGGCTAATGAATGAGTATATATGGTAATTCCTTAAGTTTCTTGACATTTACTTATTCAGTGCTAAAAAGCGTGTGCTGGGTGCCTTACAGGACAAATATAAAGACATGGTCACTATTAGCATCAAACATTTGTATTGTGGTAGCACCTAGAAGCTGACCAGGTTGGCCCCAACATGCTTCCAGTCTAATGGGTATAATGGTTCTCTTTCTGAAAATATTGTTTGACTTATTTCTGTGTCACTATTTTAGGCACTGAACTGCAGGCGAAAGGTGTTCATTGATATGGACTATCCCAGAGTCTTTCATTTGAACACAAGCTTTAAATACAGAACTGTAATGAACTCTCCATTTTTTGACTTTCACAGATTATTCAGTGGATTTCTGAGAACCTGTCAGCATGTTCTACATTTGACCCCTTACAGGAATTGATCATTGGTAGGTGTTTTTTTTTGCATTGCATGTTAAATTACACACTGCGCATTTTTGCTTAAAGGGAGACATCTGAAGATAAAGCCACACAACTGCAAACTGACTCTCCTGCTGCTGCTGCCTCATCTTTTTAATTGTACTCATGGTTGGTTGACTCAGCTGTTGTACGGCTGTACTCGGTTGCTAATTGAGAAGACAAGTACATTGCAATTCTGGTTTTATAGCAATTTGTACAACTTTACAAATGTGATTAGCTACCTAGTTGTGCAGGAAGAGAGATCCATTACCATTTTGCCCTTTCATGAGCCAAATTCTCTGCCTAGCAGGTGGCTCAAATAGCTGAGATGTGTGCCAGATAGATGAATAGAAGGGGAAGGAGTAATTCTCCTTTAGCCTCAGCCAGGTCACCGAGCCATTCCAGGAAGGTTGCTTCAGCATAATGGCTGGTGTATCCTGTGACATTTTCACATATCAGCAGATCCCCTGGCCCAGCCAATCTGAGCCCTGTCTCCTGTGTGTCTGTTCGGGGGACCCCAGCTGAGCTGAGGCTAAGCAGCTGACACACCCCTGCATGGCTATCTGGAATTCCTTTCCTCCCTTTGTGCAGTGGAGTCTTATCAAGTTCCACCGCTAAGGAAGCTGCTGCAGTGGCAACATCAGGATTTGTTCCTAAACAATTAATTGACAGATTAATAAGGGAAAGGGGGAGTAAAAAGGAAGACTATAAAGCTTTTTCTTGGTGACTTATAACTTTATACAGCCTTGTCTCTGTAAATCTCTCTCTTTTTTTTTTTTAATGCATTCAGCTTCCTTATACTGGGCAATGTGTCCAGAGACTAGCAAGCTGGATAAACTTTTGCCATATACATCTCTGCTGTACTGGAATGGGGTAAGGAATCAGCGGCTACGAGCACTAATAACTTTGGGAGAGGGTTTTTATTCTTTCTAAAATTTGTCATAAGACCTGTTTGCTTTTGGAAGCAAATTTATTCTTTTTGGAAGATGATCTAGTGCAGGGGTGGGCAAACTTTTTGGCCTGAGGGCCACATCGGGGTTCCAAAACTGTATGGAGGGCCAGGTAGGGAAGGCTGTGCCTCCCCAAATTCCTGGCCCCGCCCCCTATCTGCCTCCTGACTGTCCCCCTCAGAACCTCCCACCCATCCAACCCCCCCTGCTCCTTGTCCTCTGACCACCCCCTCCCAGGACCCCCACCCCTAACCGCCCCCCTGGGACCCCACCCCCTATTCAACTCCTCCTGCTCCCTGTCCTCTGACTTCCCTGACCCCTATCCATACCCCCGCCCCTTGACAGGCCCCCCGGGACTCCCATGCCTATCCAACCCCCCCATCCCTTGACTGCCCTCCCCCCGAACCTCCGCCCCCTGCTCCCTGTCCCCTGACTGCCCCCTGGGACCTCCTGACCCTTATCCAACCCCTCCGCTCCCTTACCATGCCGCTCAGAGCAGCAGGACTGGCAGCCACGCCGCCCGGCTGGAGCCAGCCATGCCGTCACGCAGTCTAGAGCACCGGGGTAGGCCGGCGGCTCTCCCAGCTGCGCTGCCCGAAAGGAGCTCACAGCCCCACTGCCCAGAGTGCTGGTGGCACGGCGAGCTGAGGCTGCGGGGGAGGGGCCTGGGGCTAGCTTCCCCGGCCGGGAGCTCAAGGACCGGACAGGACAGTCCCGCAGGCCGTAGTTTGCCCACCTCTGATCTAGTGGCTTGTTTGTCTATTTTATACCTGTTTTATCTTACCTAGACTTAATGTGTCATGGTTTTCAGGAATCTTTATTTTTGGTAAATGCATTTATGAAATGTCAATGACAACAGCTGTGATTGCATTTATGTAACTGTTATGAATGATTACATTGGTTATGGTTTTTATGTAATAATATACCAGTTATTGTGTGCCCATGTGGTATTTATAATGGATGCAGAGTAACTTTAGTCACCAGGATCCTGCAGTTCTTTCCAATAGGTACACAATCTGGAGAGTATTACCATTATGAAAGTTTTATAGAGAAAACAGCATTGGGCAGGTCTACACATGGCTAACACAATCACCAGCCAATCAAAAGTTTTCCAGTCTTCAGCCTTCTCCAGTAAGGCCTACTGTCTGATTTTCCTCATTAACACTAATCATTACAAAAGTTCTGGCGAGCTGGCAGCTTATTTAAATGGTAGTTACTTAAAATTTCAAACACCACACACATGTTTACTTTACACTGTGTCGGCTGGAGACTGTTTATCTTGTATACTGGATCTATCAAGCTACTTTAATCCTGACAGAGAAGACCACTTTTCATCCCAGCACAGAGAGAGAATAGTTTCCATACTTCTTTTGTGCAAAGACGAATGTGCTGTCTTGGTTAGCTAGATTACTGCCCAGAGGAAAGTGATATGAAATCTTCACATTTTTGTGTTATAATCTGTTATATCTGTTTGTATCTTTTAAACTAAATTAATGTTTTAATTTCCTAATATTTGTTTATAGATTATCCCTGGAATAACATGCATAACGGACATTATTTCTTTACCTGAATTAAAGGTAAGTCCCTACATATGAAGGTGTTGCTATTGGTAGGAAGGGTGTGGGTTGTCACTTTCCTTATAAACATTACTGTAATGCACATGTTACCTGAAAATAAGGATGAAGAAAGAATTGCTCTAGTTTAAGTAGCTTTTATGGTTGCTAGAAACATGAATTTTCCAGACAAGTTTTGCTGTCTCAGAAATGCACTGTAGTTTCTCAAGTCTTTGCCCTTTTCTTTCGGAAGGACATTGGCTCCCGCCCTGGATGCCTTCCAGTTTGTTTGATGCCTCTTCATTCTGTGACCGAAGTTAAGATGGGGGAAGTTTCTTTGCACTGGGGACATGGGGGATTTCTAATGTACATCTCCTCTCACTGGGGCCATTGGAGGTGTCACTATATTTTCATTAAGGATGTAAATACCATTTAAACGATTACAAATATTTTGCTTAAATGGTCAACCGATTAAGTGGCTGGGTCTGCTTTGGCCAGGCAGCCGGCAGGCCGGGGGTTAATGGTTAAAGCAGGTTAAATGGTAAGACTAATGCTTACTGGTTAACATTTTACATCCCTAATGTTCATCAGCACCAGCAGTTCAGGATTTTTCCTTTCATTTTGGCCACGGTACCCTGCGCTTGCATTGTTGTGATCACTCTGGCCATGCTGTTCAGAAGAAGTGGCTGTTTCACCTAAACAAACCAATTGTATGGGTACAGGTGGGTATGGAAAAGGAGCTGAACCTGGTGAACATAAGAATGGCTATACTGGGTCAGACCAATGATCCATCTAGGCCAGTATCCTGTCTTCTGACAGTGACCAATGCCAGGTGCCCCAGAGGGAATGAACAGAACAGGCAATCATTGAGTGATCCATCTCCTGTTGTCCAATACCAGCTTCTAGCAATCAGAGGCTAAGAACACCCAGCGATGGGGTTGACTCTCTGACCTTCTTGGTTAAGAGCCACTGATGGACCTATCCTCCATTAATTTATCTAATTCTTTTTTGAACCCCATTATAGTTTTGGCCTTCACATCACCCCCTGGCAACGAGTTCCACAGGGTGACTGTGTGTGTGAAGAAATACTTTCTTTTGTTTGTTTTTAAACCTGCTGCCTATTAATTTCATTGGGTGACCCCTGGTTCTCAAGTTATGTGAAGGGATAAATAACACTTATTCACTTTCTTCTCCCCACCATTCATGATTTTATAGACTTTTACCATATCCCATCTTAGTCATCTTTTTTCCAAGTGGAACAGTCCCAGTCTTTTTAATCTCTCCTCATACAAAAGCTGAACTCGGGGGAGGGATAGCTCAGTGGTTTGAGCATTGGCCTGCTAAATCCAGGGTTGTGAGTTCAATCCTTGAGGGGGCCATTTAGGGATTTGGGGATTTAGTTAGGGATTGGCCCTGCTTTGAGCAGGGGGTTGGACTAGATGACCTCCTGAGGTCCCTTCCCACCCTGATATTCTATGATTCTATAGTCTTTGGCAGGGGAAAAGGGGGAAATCTGTCTGTAGTTCCTTTATTTGCTATGAAAGCTGGATTGATGATTCCTTCATCTCCCCCTACCCACAACTGCCTTCAACTGAAGTCTTCACTTTGTATGAAGGTTAAGAGCACTTGGCAGTTGCGAGAACATGGCTGTAAGGACACTGGTAAATAAAATAGTAAGATCTGTGCTGAATGTTCAGAGAATCACTGACAAGTAACATAAGAGTGATGTTCAAAGTTCTGGGAACCCAGCATGTGAGCAGAGGTCTCTTGTGGGAGTTGTATCCTGGACATAGCTTGCTCTGGAACTTGAGAATATTGTCAAATGGAATAACTTAAGTCAGAAGTGCTCTTACTCCCCACGTGCTCAGAACTAGTTTAAAATTTCAGTTTTAACTGTCTCTAAGGGCCCAATTTTCCTGGCATCAGTGGGATTGCTCCTGATTTACACCAGGGTGAGTGGAGAATTGGGCCTAGCTGCTTACCACTGATTTCACTGGGAGTTGATGACACTTGGGAGATCAGGTCTTGAGATGGATCTTTGGTCACCATATGCTGCATGTGTTCACTGAGGTCAAAATTTAGCTGGCTGTTCAGTTTGTCTGAGATTTAACCTCAAGCCTCTGGGAGCAAAGGTCTTTAGCAGCTGCACTTCTCGATTGTGAAACTCCTTTCCTACTTGTGTGTAAAAACCTAAACAGACTGAGAAGGATAAAGTTAAACTGAAGACACTTATTTTCTGCTGCTTTTGACTGCAAAGTGCTCTGACTCTTATGTGACGCCAAGAGACAAATGCTCTGGGGTCAGATTCAGTGCTCTGTTCTGGCTTGTTTACTCTGCTCCAGTTATACAAAACCACCATAAACCCAGTTTCACTGGCCAGTTAATGGGGTTCTAGGTGGTTCTTGTTGCCCAAGAGTGAAAAAGCAACCAGAACATAGAATTGAATCTGGCCCTTTATTTATTATTTCTGCAGTCTCTCAGGTGCGTGAGGCATTTCACGGACACGATGACATCTCCCAACCCTGATGAACTTTCTATTTAAGGGCCCCATGCCCTTTGTGAACTTCTGAGTGCTCCCAGGGAATTCCTTCCCATTTGAGGGTGTGCCACATGTAGTAGGAAAATGGATCCTAAATTCAACAGCCTACCAAGGGATAACATACACAAGGTTTGGGAAGAAGGGGTTGTGAGAGAGGCCAGGATCACCACTGTAAGCTCATGGAATATGTTTGTTTGTGTTACATAGAAATCTGATCCTTTTCTTTGAACAAGTTAATATATTTATACTCACTCATGTTTTAATCTGTCAGGAAGAGTGGGATAAAAGTCTGTATTGGAAGGCTCACTGGAAGGAAGAGTCTTGAAGAATTTGAAAGAAAAGAGTGAGGCACACAGAATCGGCAAGGGGGCAGGCATCGGAAAAGGCAGTCTCATGGCACGGGGGAGTGACCCGACCTGCGGAACAGGCAGGGAGTAAGCACTGAGCTTTGTTGCATATTTACCTAGTGCCTCTCATCGCAGTTAGTTATACATCCTCCACCACCAGTTAGGTGGTAGCACACAGATCCATACGATAGGCGGTGAAGAGGACCGCTGTAGCCATTCAAAACTTCAAGAGGAGTTCAGGCAGGTAGTCCTCACTGTGTTGGGTAAATATAGTCTGACACGACTGCTCTTGTGAAAAGGGCCAGGGGGGTTTTAAGCCCTCACAAGTGGGGAGGTCCTTTGGTTTGACATCTCTGAAAAATGACGCCATCAGTAATACAGTATCAGGCTGGGCCACTAATCCTGTACTGTCCGGTGGTACAGGGCAGCCTGCAGAATGAACACCACTTCCACTTGCATTATGGAGATCTCTCCTCTAGTTCTTACCCAGCCTGACCCTGTTTCTCTCTTTGGACAGGCCACAGAAAACCAAGACTTTAGGCAAAACACAATCCTTTATTTTAACCTGGTGACATTTTAAATGAGACCAAAAGATGCTGCTGGTTTTAGTTTTCAGTGGCATCAAATTTTAATCTTAAAACCTGCCACTTTGTTATGGACTCACTAGACAAAAGCAGCTTTTCATCGTGTCAAACGGGTTTGTATGGCTTGAAAACAATGCAAGGGGGGACTGGCAGGAGATCCATAGGGTTGTGCAACTGCAACTATCTAAACTGGTCACTAGATGTCATCCTTGTTGTATATTCTGGCTGTTGTTAACCTAACAGTAACACTTATGCCAAAATATACTGTAGTAATATGTTGTAGAGTTAGTTATTTTGCCTATTCGCTACCAAAAATCTCAGTCAATTGTGTTAACCTAAAGTGTTTAACCTAATTAAACTATGTTAAAACCCAGACTGACCCTTATCAGCTACGGCCGCACGAAAGTTGGGGAGTATAGTTAAATCATACTATACACTTTAAAAGTTAGCCTGGGTCTCCTCATAATTATGTGGGAGTGTGTCATAATTTGCTGTGATGGATTGTAGGTTGTCTTTCAAAGTCATGCCTGATCTCGAGTGCAACTGGAGAAATAGGAAATTAAGTGAATAGTCACATGTGCCTGTACTTTTTGAAATGATTTTGGGTACTCCATTTTAGATACCTTTAAAAGGGACTGTGGGGTTTTTTGGGTGGATGGTTGCTCAGCACTTTCTGAAAATTAGTCTCCTTTAAAGTATCTCAAGTTTGGCACCAAAATCACTAGTCCCTTTTCTGAAAGCTTTAAACTATTATATTTAAAGCTGTGATTGATGGAGAATAGGTTTGTGTCAGAGCCTTCTGGGGGAGAAATAGCCAGTAGCTTCTAGAAAGATAGGACTACTCAAGAGCAAGTGAACTTTGGGTGCTATGCAAAGAAAGGGTACACGTGATGGATTTTCCAATAGCCAGCTAGTCAGGTTCAAAAGCAGATGTGAAATAATGTTAAGGGGCAAAGGACAGAAAACAGCTTGTTTGCTCAGGGCAGCAGTTCTATGCAATATTGAATGAAGATGCAACATACAAGGGAAAATGGGCTATAATGTTTGTTTAAAATTAGAGCAATTAAGGATGGTCATGCCTGCCCTCGAAGAAACCTGGAGGAATAATGGACTGGTCTCCAGGGAGGTAGGTCCCTGACTCTGAGGGCACACTAACTCAGATGGGCCTTGTGGATGCTGCAGGGCTGAAAGGAGGAAAGCATCTGATGGTCTAACACAAACCCTGCAGTGCTAGGATAGATGAATTCTTGTTTGACCCACTGAAAGTGCAGGATTTTACTTTCACTGACTATGCAGCTATCCCAACCTAGACCAGATAGGATGTTTAGAACATTTACTCTTGGTTTTTCTCTTCATCTTCTATTGAGTGCTGTTTTATTCAAAATATTTTGAGTCTTAGACCAGAGATTGGATACTGTAGACAACGGGTGGTCTCCAGATCAGGACGGGCAAGATGCTGGTTCCTATCTTTGCTTTCCCACTGCTAAACTGCATTAAACTACAGCTAAAAATACATTATTTCCCTGAAGTTATTTTCCTGATGTTCCTTTTCTGTGTAAGCCATCGCTGTAGTTGCCACAGGATTTTTGTGTGACTGACAGTGGAAGGGAAGTGGTCCATATGAGTATGAATTAAAGTGCAGGGAAGGAGGCGAGGTTTTCATGTGTCACTTTCTCCAGTAAGATGTGCTCCATGCTATGAAACAGTGTCAGAGCTGCCGTTTTAGTTTTCTTGGTAACTTCATTGTGGCAATTATTAAAGGTAAGAAAACTGGCAAGGGGCAGAGGCAGCCAAAAGCCTGCTGGTGCCCCCAAAGTGTTGCTAAGATGATGGCGGTGGTTGGAAAGGTGTGCCAGGAAAGACAGACGAACAGGAGGGGTGACAGGAATATAGGAGTAAAGCTTAAAACTGGGGGGAAGGGGTTTCAACTATCTTCCAAAAATTAGAGTTTAATCTTCTATGTCCTATCCAGTACAGTGCACGCTGCTGACCCTTAATAATGGCCTCAAATTTCCATTTAAAAGAAACAAATGAAAGTCAGACCCAGTGTGGAATTCTAGGTGCAAAAACAGGCGCAGGAAACCAGAATTGTCTGTGTTTGGTTTTTCCTGTTACCCTCCTAGGTTTTAAGTCAATTTCAATGTTAAAATCAAAGGTTTAAAAAATGCTGTGGAAAAGCTTTTTTTTTTCTGGGCTGAGTTTGTTATATCAACTTCCCAAACAGGACCCTATAACACAAGTGCTAATGCAATTCTGTAACGGTACAAACCTTGGCGTGCCAGTATAATGCAGTGTTATGGCTGAGGACGAGAGAGCCACTGCCAAACAAAGAAAAGAAATATCAAATGGGAGAATTTTTGAAAGAACGACGTGTCTGCATTGTTCAGCTAACATTCCCTGGGTGCAAAATGGGCAGGTTGTTCACCTGCTACGCTGAAAGAGAACCTTTGTGTAAGAGGTTTCATAGCTTTCTTATATAGTAGTAATAATTTCTCAGTACAAGAATGGCTTTAAAAACCAATAACCCAAGGCTGATTTCCAACCCTGCATTTATCATAGTTCTCTCATGTCGTCATTTGAGCGATAAACTCAATAGATAGTTTTACAACTGTGCAGTTTGTATTCATGCTTTTTGTTTATATATTTGTAGGTTCAAAATTGTAAAGGCTTCTGGGAAAAGCTAAACTTAAACCTGGAGTGTGTGAAATACGCTGAGCCACACTTGCATTACAACAACAATGTGCTCAGGAGAGAATGGTATAAGCTACTTTCAGAAGAGGTAAATGAACAGTTTGGATAAGCATCCATCGTTCTGTTTCCATGATGTGAGCATTGTTTTAAAGCTGAATACAGAAGTAAAGAATTAAGTTGTTGGAACTCATCTCATTAGACATTTGATGAGGAAATTGGGTAGCTCTTATGGGAGGGCAGTCAGTGGTTGTAATTCTTACCTATAGATTCAGATAGGATCTGAATTCCACAATCTGCCACCAGGTTGGGGGCTTGGATTTCTGCTACACTAGCTTTCTGTGGGTTTCTTGAGTTCTACCAGCTGCAGGCTGTGCTTTTCAAAGTGAGTGAGAGGCACTACTGTAGCATTATCCCCATTAGAAGGGAAAGCTAGTACTGTTTCTCATCGATTTTTATGTGGCAGAATTTTAATAGTTCTGCAACTGTTTTTTCAATGTAGAAAGCCGAGGAAAGAAGAACCACAACATATTTGAGGAATATTTTTGAGAATGCAAAAAAGTAGGTAAAATATTGGTGATTTTACCCTTCCTTATTCTGTTTAAGTGAATGCTGTGTTTTAAGTGGACCATTCTGGACTTAAAAGTGCTGTGAAGCTGGGTGCATCTCACTGTTATTACATATTATTACCTGGCCAATTCACCTCACCTAGGGGAGGTCACCCAGGTGTCAGTCAACCCAGGTCATCAGGGACTCCTGATGATGGCCACAAAACTGTCCAGGGAATCCAGCATTCTGGGCTTTAAGACTGAACGTTAGAAATGAAGATTTCTTCCTTTAAAAACATGTTTAAATTAATTTTATGCCACTATCCTTAATACACTGAGCTAGTTTAACATGGCCAATACGTGCAATTTTAAATCTGATTAGCTGCATGTAGATACGTAACTTTTCAGTGTGTGTCTATCCTTTTGAAGCAGTATTTAAATTCAGTTTTCCCTCCCTAGGGTGCTTTCCAATCTTGCTGAATGGAACTTGGGTAAGGAAAACATGCACTGATGCAGTCTGTGGCTAGGTGGGATGCTGAAATGGTTACAGTCTACATACCATGGCCTGAAACATTCATTTTCAAATATGTTTTGAACCTGTTTGCCATTGAAGGATCTGAGGGATGAGGCAGGTAAAGTTGGATAACTAAAATGCAGGAATAGAGTCTCTCTCTGATGTATAGTTACAGCGTCAGGAGACCTGGGTGAGATTGAAGAGCGCCTTTGAAAATGATCTAGACAAACACAGCCATCTAGGCTTTATCTACACGAGTTTTCCTTAAAGCAGGGATAGATGACTGTCAAACATCTGAGCTTTGTCTTCTTACAGCGTTCTACAGTGCTACCGCTACAGAGCTGCACCCATTGGGAGATTATGGTAGAAAAATCCTAGCGGAGACAAGGCACTAGCCTCAATCAGTAGCTGAGCAGAGCTGAGCAGTAGCATCTTGGAATCATTTCAGAAATGCTAGAATGACCTTCAAGACCCCTACTTGTTAGTTTAAAACTTTTAGTTAAAACTTAGTTTCCATAAAATTCATTGACAAATCATAAGTTGCTACTGTATTCTTGTTTCCGTTGCTAGGCATTTGAGTCTTTCAGGACCTCTCTTATTCTTTAAGTGTCGCTTTTGTCATGTGATTCAGGTTTCCATTCACAAGCTGATCAAGATTTCCAGACTGCAGTCCCACCTCATTTACATCACTGTGCTAGTCTAAGTATTGGTCACTCATTTAAAAGCTAGACATGTTTGGATTTGTTTAAAGAAAATAAAGCCAACATTAACTTCCAGTATCCAACATTATGATCACCTTCCCTATCCTTCAATCATTGCTTTGGAGTCTGACTTTTAGGACCCCAAGTAGCCTTAGCTAAACTTCTGTAGCCTTACACTGCAACCACTGCCCTGTCTTCTAAAGATGCTGGTTTAAGAACCATACACTTGTCTGAATAGTTCATTCGTGTCAGAACCTCAACGGTGCCTATAAACTTTCCAGTTAGTAATAGTAATAGTGAGCATTTACCTAGGTCATTTTATCCATAGATCTCCAGGCATTTTAAAATGGGGATAGCCAGACCCATCTTTGTACGGATAGGGAAAGTGAGGTAGAGGGGGCTAAGTGTCTTGCCCAAGGAGTAGGTAAATACATATACTTCAAGGCAGGCAAAAGATAGTTAAAGGGAAATGCTTAAAAATTTAGGGGCCAGTTTCTGCAAGATGTCAAGTGAAGCCCTCTAATCCCAGTCCGTGAAAGTGGAGCTGCTCGGCATCTTGCAGAGTCAGGCTGTTAGTTTGATCTCGTAGGACAGGAAGAACGCGTAAGGAGTCAGACGATGCCAAGCTCTGCCTGTTGTGTTCTATACCTGTTCTTTTGTTTTGTAACCTCTTTCTTCCATGCAGTTAACGGGAGTGCTGTCGGATATTTAGATTCACCTTACTCAGCAATTTGTAACTGAAATAGCCAGGCCAAAGAGTTCTGCTGTGAGTGTAGGAGGTGCATTCTGTGAAAAGGCTACTTTGCTCTAACCAGTTGTATAGCAAACCCGCCCAGATGTTTGCCCTTGGTGAGAGTTGTAAATGTCAAGATCTGAACAGTGTGCATTTTGTATTCTTGTTACCACTGGGTTTTCTGGACCTGCCGGCTCTAAAGGGCTAATGGTGGTGGCAACATTTGTCTTGGAGATTGAGGGAAAGAGCTATAGAAACAAAGTGTGATGCTATTGTATAAGAGAACTGAGGGGAAGAGAATAAGCTTTTTTCACAAATGCCTCCATCTTAGAGCAGCTGGGGAAGACTGCCTTGTGACAATTTTCTGTTCCGTCACTGTTCTCTGAATCTGTCTAGGAATGGGAACGGTATGCCTCCTGTTTTTCTCCTCATTTCTAAGTGGTTTTGGAGTCCCTGAGGTCTCTCACTAATTCTGCAGAATCATGCATTTGAATGATATTAATTCTGTTTATTTCAGAGGAAAGGCTAGTTCCTCTTTTTCAAGAGGAAGACTACCCGCAGCGATTATTAATCGGACTAGTAAGTGTTTTTGTTACATTCTGTGCAGTAGAAGACGTGCAACCTTAATCAGTGTAAAGAATAAGTTCGATAGTATTTATTTGTAGTTTTTCTTGCCAAGTCTTTTATTCAGTGGTTCACTAGAAGATCACTTAGGCCAGTGGTGGGCAACCTGCAGCCCCTCAGGGTGATCCGCTGGCAGGCCACGAGACAGTTTGTTTACATAGACTGTCCGCAGGCATAGCCGCCCGCAGCTCCCATTGGCTGGGAACAGTGAACCACGGCCACTGGGCAGCCGTGCCTGCGGACGGTCAATGTAAACAAACAGTCTCACGGCCCGCCAGTGGATTACCCTGATGGGCCGCAGGTTGCCCACCACTGATTTAGGCTAATCAATGTTGGGACTAGAAATGGGACAGAACATGCTGCCATGCAGGAATCAGTTTGGTTCTCTTCTCCCAGGTCAAGACACTAATCCCTAAAAATGAAAATTAGGAGGCAGATCATAGCTAAAAGCTAATTTGTCAAAACCTGACTTCCTCCAGTACAAGCTTGCTCTTTTTCTTATATGCTGCTGTACTCCTTGCCAGGGCCGCCCAGAGGATTCAGGGGGCCTGGGGTCCCCGCCTCTGAATTGCCGCCGAAGACCCGGCACTTCGGCGGCTGGTCCCGGGGCGGAAGGACCCCCCTCCGCGGGTCTTCAGGGCACTTCGCAGCGGGTCCCGGAGCGGAAGGACCCCCCGCCACCAAATTGCAGCTAAAGACCCGGAGCGGAAAAAGCTTCGGGGCCCCGTGCCCCGTGAGAGTTTTCCGGGGCCCCCCGGAGCAAGTGAAGGACCCTGCTCCAGGGGCCCCGAAAAACTCTCGTGGGGGCTCCTGTGGGGCCCAGAGCCTGGGGCAAATTGCCCCACTTGCCCCCCCCTCTGGGCGGCCCTGCTTCTTGCCTAAACACTGACTTGCCATCCTCACTGGGCATCATCCCAAGCCCCTGTCACTTTCAGTTTTTAACTCCCTTCTAATCCCTCTCCCATGTCCTCCTCCCTCTTTGCAAGAGCTGGCCAACTTTCAAAGAGAAGATCAACAAGATCCCCCATGATCATTTTTCCTTTTCCTGCTCCCCACTTAACACCCTTTTCACTTTCTCCTTTTTCTCACTTGCCTTCCACTTCACTTGTAACCCCACTACATCTATTCGTGGGCCACCACCTCCTTTACTCCATTTTCCCGGGGTGATCTCACATGGCTTCATCTACTGACTGCATGCTGATGACTCACAAATTTAGATCTCCACTACTGAGCTGTCCCCCTCCATCCAGTCCCAAATCTTAGCCAATCTGTTGGAAATCTCCTGCAGATTTCGTGACCTGTTCAAACTCAGCACAGCTATACCTGAACTCCTCATCTTGCCTCTGAAACCCTCAGCACCTCTCCTGTTCTCTGCCACTCAAAATCTAGGGCTCATTTTGGACTCCTCTCTGTCTGGCCCTCTCATCCAAATCCTACTAATTCTTTTTCCAGGACCTAAAGTTGAATGCTGAGAACTGGAATATTTAAGAATCCTCTTTTCTTCCAGGTGAAGGACTGTGTAGAAGTTGTAGCCGTGTGTTGTGATATATGCTGCCACTGTAACATAGTAGTGTTTTATAGAGATTTAGAATTGCAGGCTTTCTCCTGTGAGGCAGAGAAGCGTGATGCAGGGATAGCTGAAAGCCTTGTGTTATGTTCATTGGTCCATTGAGCTGGATCTGTACTAAGTTATCATTCTGGCTGTTTAAAATCACTTTTTTCTTTGGCGAGAATGTGTGATAGCCAGTGATCTCAGTGCAAATCATGCTTGTTTGCCAGAGACAGAAGATTGTTGTGCTAGTTCATGTGAATTGGCACTTGCACCTGCTTGAACTTTGAGAAGGCACCTAAAAGGCTGTTTTCCTTTTCCAGATGGTTGCTCAGTTGAAAGATCATCTTATGAGGCATCTACAATATGTTGGAAAAATGAAGGTTGACCAGATCGTTCTGGACTATGTTTCAAAACTGGTTAGTTTGAATTTTTTTCCAAATTTAAGTTACTGTTGAAACTAGGTTTTTTAGATCATTTTCTCTGGGCAAGGACTGTCTTTCTCTGTGTCTTGTGCATGGCTCATTGCTCAGTAACCAGTATCTATTTTCTAGTTCTGTGTGTCTATAATAAGAAGAAATATTGGAGAAGAAAACTAGTCACTGATAAAATAAGAACTATAAGATTCCTTGCAGCATGAATGCTTGATGCTTAAAGTAGAACTGGGATGCATTTTCTCTTTTGCTACGTTTTTCTGATTTTCATGTGTTCCTTCTTAATGTAAACAAAGACAAGAACTTCTTGGTGTCAGAATGCTTAGTTAGCCCTGTTCTGCCAAAGTTTCTGGCAAAACAAATCAATTTAGATTGAGCCTTTAAAATAACCCCCACTATTTAATAACAAAATTTGTGATGAATTTTGCTCTTTAACCTCACCTAAAGCAAGAATTCTCTTAATATGCAATTTATAGGCTTCCATTCCCGTAGGCGCCTTAACAGAAACTAAACAAAGTTGTTATAAACACAGGCAAGATGCCCATAAAAATTACTCCAGCCATTTGGCTGGCACGCTTTGCAAGCTTCTTTTAGAAGTCTATCACTAGACCTGGATCTCCCCTCATCCTGATTGGGAGTTCTCACTAAATTCTTAACATCTTTACATTTCCCATCAGGGCCACCCAGAGGATACAGGGGGCCTGGGGCAAAGCAATTTCGGGGGCCCCTTCCATAAAAAAAAGTTGCAATACTATAGTAACATGTATTTGGAAATGTAAAAAATAACCAGTGAAATACATTCAAAAATTAATTTTTAATAATTTGAAAATACACAAAATACATTATTTAAAAACATTAAATGCTTTAATGGTATGTATACATTTGCAATTACATAATGGGCTGTCGCTGGGTGATGGTGATGGTTGGTGCCAATGGGCTGTCGCTGCCTGGGGGTGGCGTTACTGTTGCCCAGGGCTGGGTGGGGAGCTGGGCTCTGGGTCGGGGGGTGCCCGGCTCAGAGGGGCTGGGCTCGG